GCGGCGCCCGCCTCGGCTCCCGCAGAGGCTAGGGATTACCAGCGTGAGCCACCGGTGCCCGGCCTCTCCTCTCACTTTTGTTGCAAAGAAAAAAAATGAACACACTCATATTTATGCTTTCACGAGGAAGTTTTGTTTGGCCCCACCAGTGCCCCCCCGCCAGTGCCTGAGCAGTTACAGAGCTATTTACTATTGAGGCGATGATGAAACTTTGGTACTGGAAGAAACAATCCTCCTGCCTCAGCCTCCCGAGTAGCTGGGACTACAGGCATGCGCCACCATGCCCAGCTAATTTTTTCTATATGTTTTTAGTTGTTCGGCTAATTTCTTTCTATTTACAGTAGAGACAGGGTCTCGCTCTTGCTCAGGCTGGTCTCGAACTCCTGACCTCAAGCGATCCTCCTGCCTGGGCCTCCCAGAGTGCTAGGATTACAGGCGTGAGCCACCACGCCCAGCCCCTGATTCTTAAATGTTGGCAACTAACGCAGTTTTTGTGTTCCCTGTCGGTCAAACGTCTGGACCAAGCAGGGTGCTCTGTCCCTGATCCTGGCAAGAAAACCCCAGGAAAAGATGTTCAGTGCATGTGGGCAGGTTACACCTGGTTGCGTAACTGGAAACTTCTGTGGCTGCCGCAGGTACATTTTGTTTGATGGTGACGTGGACGCCCTGTGGGTGGAAAACATGAATTCTGTGATGGACGACAACAGGCTGTTGACCTTGGCCAACGGGGAGCGCATTCGGCTTCAAGCGCACTGCGCCCTACTCTTTGAGGCAAGTGGGGACGGAAAGTGATTTCGAACATGCGTCTTGCTTTTAAGTAAAAATCCGAATGTTTATCGAAGTAGTAATAAACATAGACGACCGTAAAAAAACAATGCACGAGAGTTTATGATGAGTACAACTCTTTGTTCTTTATCTACTCCCCTCATTCCCTCTTTACTCCATCCCAGATGTGATTAATTTACTTATTTTTGAGTTGTTTTTCCTGATGATTACCGTAGCATCTGTAAGTAATATGCTCAGCATGCTGTCTCTTCCTTTATACATTTTATAGCTCATACATCATCTATTGACTGGCTGCTACGAAAGTGAGAAGTCATCGCTCATGCCGCCCTCCACCTCCCCTCCTCAGGACAGCATATTGTTGAGCTGGTTAACAGCAAACAGTGTTGACATTATTAAGAAGATAGAAATATTTACTGCCGAGCTGAGCAGTCCATTGTGATCACCTTTACTTTCTTTTAGAGCCATCTGTTTTATCCGGAGTTTGTGACTGCCTGCCCCCCCCCCCCCGCCCCGTTTGTTTTTAGCTCATCCTCATTTGTCTTTTCAAACTTTCTGTCACATCGAGTATTCTGTTGAGTCCCTTTATTTCCTGGAGACTACTCTCTAAGGCCCTCCCTCTCCTGCTTGTTGTGGGCGGCGTGTTTCACGGCTGTGGGCCAGGACTTGCTTTCACTCTAACTCAGTATTGGTGCCATGTCTATACTGGCTTGCAAGATCTGTCAGTGCACGAGTATTTGCACATCTCTTTATCTGATTAGCAGACTGAACTACGTCGTCTTTCCTAGGAAGAGATAGGCTTGTTAATATTGCTGATTTAGCTATGCACTTACTGAGTTTTATACAACCTGATCTGAACTATGTTAAAAAAAAAAACAAAAGCAAAAAGACTGAAAGGAAAACACTCCACATTATATCTGTCTCTGGGCGGTGGGATTTAAGTAACTTATTTTCTTCTATTTTTTGTCAGATACTCTCCAACATACCCATTTTCACATTAATTTTATAGTAAGAGAAGACTTAAAAAGGTGTCACATCACAGATGTATAATCTTCCCATCGTAAACCTAGGTGTCGAAGCAAAAACCTCGTGAAAGCTCTGTTAATTTTGATAGGACCTGGGTCATATGCAGTTGTGGAAACTTTGCAAAAGAAAAAGGCCCTTAATAAATATCTAATCCGTCTTGTCTGTAGCTGTAGACGTGACTGATTTTCTTTATTTCTCCAGGTTGGAGATTTGCAGTACGCCTCCCCTGCAACTGTCTCTCGATGTGGGATGGTTTATGTGGATCCTAAAAACTTGAAATATGAACCATACTGGAAAAAATGGGTTAATGAAATACAAAACAAGGTAAAAACTATTTCCAAAATGAACTTGGCTATTAGTGGTGGTGGCCGTTAGGACAGCGTAGCCCCGAGGGATGTTTGCAGTTGAAGGCCATGACCTTGCCCTCCACCTGCCCGCTTTCTTGAGCACAAATCGCACGGAAGCACGGCAGACACGCTTGTTAAACTTCAGACGGTTCACAGCCCGTGGGATAGGTGATGATTCTGATGGTCTAAATGAGGGGCTCACAAAGTTTTCTGTGAATGGGGTAGACAGTATAATAAATATTTTAGGCTTTGTGGGCCATATGCTTTCTTTTGCAAGTACTCAGCCCTGTCATTGTAACACGAAAGCAGCCAGAGACAATATGTGCACAAAGGGACATGGCTGTGTACCAATAAAACTTTATTTACAAAAATAGGTGGCGGGCCAGAAGTGTGCTTAACATAAGGCTTCTTTGAAAGGAGCAGAGATGGATGTGACAGTCATGTGTGGGCTGGGGCTCAATTACACCCAGGACACCATGACCATATTCCCAAAGTGACACAGGTGGTCTGGGTGTGTCTCGAGAAGGGCTGCCAGGCTGGGGTGAACTGGAAGCCAGGACATAATTATTGCAGAGAGAAGACCAAGGGAACCGTGATGGGACCGTCTGAGGCACTGTCCTATGGGAGAGGGACTTGTCCAATGACCTTGCAATGCCTGGTGGTCGCTGACGCCTTGACAGGAAGTGGGGCCTTCCACTACTTTGCTGGATGGCCACGGTTAGGTCACTTGAGCCCAAAGATGCTCAGTCCCTTTTCTGTGAAATGGGACCTGTTATCCTCCCTTTGTGGGTGGGGTAGACCCTAATGGCAGCAACATGCTTCATGATGAAATGAGAAGTATATCGTGCAGGGCAAATCTCTGCAAATATAAGGCTCTAGCATCAGGGTTTCCTTGCCTGCTAAACTTACCATTCGTTGGAAGATGTTTTTGATGCTCACCAGAAAAGCATTCTGCCAACCTCATTGCAATAAATAAACCCCTGAAAGCGCTTTGGAATTCTGCTCTTTCATAGGTGGAGCAAAACAACTTAGACGGCCTCTTCCAGAAATACGTGCCCTACCTCATCACCGTGATCGTGGAAGGGATAGTGGACGGGAAACAGGGCGAGAAGCTGAAGACGATCGTGCCTCAGACGGACCTGAACATGGTGAGAGACGCTCGCTGCTGCGAGCACAAAGATTCTCCTTAAGATGGACCCGTATCTGGCTTTTGAGCGGGGGGCGAAGATGCCAGATGGGTAACCTGTGACATTGCGGGTTGGTTTTCGGGGACGACACGACACTTGCATGTGTGACCCTGTGCAAGGCAAGACACTGGGCTCCACCAAGATGGGGGGACACGTGTTCCCGTCGCTCTGGGATCCCAGGATGGGTGACTGCAGCCATTCTGTGTGGGCGGAATATACGGGCTGAACCAGGCATTTTCCTGTGAACCAGGTGACTCAGTTAACCAAGATGCTGGATTCGTTACTAGAAGGAGAGATCGAGGACCCCGAGCTGCTAGAGTGCTACTTCTTGGAGGCCCTGTACTGCTCTCTGGGCGCCGCCCTGCTCGAGGACGGAAGGGTCAAATTTGACGAATGCATTAAATGCATGGCTTCTTTGCCTACCGCTGACACAGAAGGGGTCTGGGCCAAACCCGGGGAATTGCCAGGTAGGAGCTGTCCCCCGTTTTCCTGCTCAGAGTGCTTTTGGCCAGGTCTTCAGAGGCTGTGAACTTGCTTTTCCATGTCCCCGTCTGTATGGATTTCCCAAGTCGTGTGCTTTTGTAGAGAGACGGGCACTGGTCAGAGCATCCGGTGGTAACCTCTGGACAAGTTCAAATGCGTCGACTGCTGCAGCAGAAGGCCAGCCCCTTTGGGTGACCTTTCCTGATGAGCCTAAACCTTTTCTCACCTGAGCTTAGGTACTTGCTTCCTTTGCTCTGTTTAAGCTCTTTATTTATTTATTTTTGAGACAGAGTCTCACTCTTGTGCCTGGGCTAGAGTGCTGTGGCATCAGCCTAGCTCACAGCAACCTCAATCTCCTGGGCTCAAGCCATCCTCCTGCCTCAGCCTCCCGAGTAGCTGGGACTACAGGCGTGTGCCACCATGCCCGGCTAATTTTTTCTATTTTTAGTTGTTTGGCTAATTTCTTTCTATTTATAGTAGAGAGGGGGTCTCGCTCTTACTCAGGCTGGTCTTGAAATCCTAAGGTGAAGCAATCCTCCCACTGTGGCGTCTCAAAGTGCTGGGATTACAGGCATGAGCCACCGCGCCCGGCCTGTTTAAGCTCTTTAAACGTTGCGTGTTGCGGCCGCCCCTGGCACCCAGGCCTTCTTGGACCGTGCCCCACCCCACCCTGGTTGGACCCGAACTTCCCCTTCTGCAGAACGGGGCACTGTGTGCTGGGCCTGCCCGTCGCTTGCCTGGGTTTTGGTTGAGAACACTCAGAATCTGTCCAGTCGCCCGGGAGCGTCAGCTCAAAGTGCTCAGTGGCGCCTGCCTCTCTCGGGAGGAGCACCAGGGCGCTCACCGTCACGCCCGCCCAGCAAGCAAGCCGCGGGCGTTCGTTGCAAGCCTCGCCAGGATTGGCTCTGCGTCTCTGATGGCGGTGACACAGGCCATTGTCACTGCAGGTCACCTGCCCACCCTGTACGACTTCCACTTCGACAGCGCGCGCAGCCAGTGGATCCCGTGGAGTAAGCTAGTCCCAGAGTACGTCCACTCTCACGAGAGGAAGTTCATCGACATCCTGGGTGAGTGGCGGTGCAGCCCCACTCCCGGACCTGCGATCCCTGTCCTGGGAGGAAGTGAGGAAGACCCCACGGCCTCTGTGGTGCCTGGGCCCCTGGTGGAGGGAGGGGACCGAGGAGAGTGAGCCGTGGGCCCTGCCACCAGGGTGGCACCTTTGGTTCCCTTTGTCCCCTGCTGTCCCCTGCTCTGAGTGTCTTAGGTGGCTACGCCTCTCGGCTCTTCCTGCCCGCCCCCCCCGCAGGCCCACGCTGCACCCCCCCATCTCCTCAGACGCCCTTCAGGTGGGAAGGGCCAAGGAGGGGAGGGCACGGGAGCCATCGAGGCAGCGTTTGGGGGACAGGGGGCTGCCTGTGCTGAGCCGTACTTCAGACGCCCTCCTCTGGCTGTTCATGCGAGATGAGGGCTGAATAGTTTCACAGACCTGATTGGGACTGATCCTAGCCCGCTGTGCTCACAGGGCGGGGCGTGCCTGTCTGCTCAGGATTGGAAACTGCCAGACTCAACTTGCGGTTTCACTCTCTGTTCAGGGGCAGGTGTTGGTCGGGAAACCAAATCCTGCAGGGGTCTGAGGGGCGTAAGCAACAGAGAAGTTGAGTTTTTAACATCCTGAGTATAAACCAGAATCGGATGTTAAAAACAGTGTGGGGAGCCGGGTGAGGCGGCTCACGCCTGTAATCCCAGCACTCTGGGAGGCCGAGGTGGGAGGACCGCTTGAGCTCAGGAGTTTGAGACCAGCCTGGGCAAGAGTGAGACCCTGTCTCTACTAAAAATAGAAAAAATATTATCGGGGTGTGGTGGTATGCACCTGTAGTCCCAGCTACTCGGGAGGCTGAGGCAGGAGGATTGCTTGAGCTCAGGAGTTTGAGGTTGCTGTGAGCTAGGCTGATGCCACAGCACTGTAGCCTGGACAACAGGGCAAGACTCTGCCTCAAACAAACAAACAAAACCAGTCTGGGTGTTCGAAACCTGGACTGTGCTGACTATCACGGTCATAGAACTGTATCAGACTCACCAAATCATATACTTAAAATGGGCAAATGTTACAGTGTGCAAGTTGTACCTCAATAAAGCTATCGAAGTGATGGCTGGGGTGGGAGGTTCTCCTAAGAAGAAAGTTTCCCTGTATCTATGTTTTTGGGATCCCGTCTGGGTTCGTGCTGATGCTTTTTTGGGATTTGAGGGATTCTGTGAAGCTCCAAGTTGCCGAATGCTCACCCTGTCTGGAGTCCCCGCGATCTCCTGTTCTCGATGCATTTTTAACAGTTCACACAGTGGACACCACCCGGACTACCTGGATATTGGGACAGATGGTTAAAATTAAGCACCCTGTTATTCTTGTTGGTGAATCTGGCACTTCTAAGACAGCCACTACCCAGAACTTCCTCAGAAATCTGAACGAAGAAACGAACGTAAGTCATGACTAGTATGCCTTATCTATTCCCGCGTAGCAAATTACCCCAGCGTGGAGCAGCTTCGTGCGCCAGATGCTTATTATCTCACGGTTTCTGGGGGTCAGGAATCTGGGAGTGGCTCAGCTGGGTGGTTCCGGCCCAGGATCTGTCTTGGGGTTACAGATGAGCTGCTGGCCAGGGCTGTCGTCACCTGGAGGCTTGCCTAGAGCTGGGGGCTCCTCCCAAATGGCATTTCCTGTGGCTCGAGGCTGGAGGCCCCAGTCCCCCACCGTGCGTCCCTCTCCAAGGGCTGCCCGAGTGTGGTCGTGACGTGGCAGCTGGCTTCCTCCTGAATAGGTGTCCAAGAGAGACAGCAAGGCAGACGCCACCGTGTCTTTCATGACCCAGCCTTGGATGTCACCTCCTATGACTTCTGCTATCTTCTGTGGGTCACAGAGAAGCAGAGCCCCCCTGGTGTGGTGTGGGAGGTGCACCAGGTGTGACTGCCTGGAGGCCAGGGTGACGGGGCACCCCCCTGGAGGCTGTCACAGGACATGCACCCTTATTTTGGGGTTTCTGAAACTGTTTGAGTCTTTCCTTTGCTTTCTCCAGCTCTTTGTCCCATGTGGTGGTGGGTGTGACATGTGCCAGGTGCGGGGCTCGCTCGCTGGGTGCACAGGACAAGTGACAGTGAGCAAGCCTGCCTGCTCTGTAAGGATTCTCGGGCAGTGGGAGCAAGCATGACAATGACAACAGGGGACATGGCAGTGCAGGTGTGGCAGGGCGCACCAAGGTGGCAGGGAGGCAGGTGCCTTCCCGGTACTCAGGACCACCCTGCGTGGCCCGCTCCTGCCCACCCCTCCAGCTGCCCTGGCTGTGTGGCGTCTTCACTTACGTTATAACCGAGCAAAGCCGCCCGCTCCTCCAAGGGGCTGCCGCGATTTCCAGGCGCTCCCACTCTCAGACACTTGCCTCCAATCTGTGAGGACTCGGTTCTGTGCGTGTTGGTGCCTGTTCAGCGTTTAAGCTTCCAATTCCCGTTCTGGCTGGCTGGGAGCTCAGCGGGGAGAAGGCTTTCCCTCTGCTTCCCCCTAGTTCTCTCGCTCAGCTTTGTGCCTCTTCCACTCCCAGGGGCTCCGGCAGCCGCAGCCACGGGGCTCTGGGAAACCGTATGGCCCTCTGGGGCGGGAGTGCTCAGCGGGGCTTCGCACTGCACCCCTTACGGGATGAGGCAGGGCTGGGCTGGGCTGCCCATGGGCGGGGCAGGCTCAGTGGCGTAGCGCTGCATGCAGACGTGGGGGGTTTAGCTGCAAGTGTGGCTGGCACAGAAGGGACATTTACAGTGGGGGGCCTGCGGGTCTGTGGAGTCAGGCACAGGGAAGCCACGTTTAGGAGACTTCTTCCCAGCTCCCTCCCTGCTCCCGGGACTCTGTGGCTAGTGCTCACTGGCCCAGCCGGGTACAGCTAACATGCTGGCTTTAACAAGATGCATGTTCAGCGGCAACGTGTGCAGCTTATGTGCGCCTGCGCGTCGTGCCCCAGCTGGAGGCTGCTGTGGAAGACAGCGGTCGGCTCTCAAAGTGTGACCCCCAGATCAGAGGCTGCTATGGAAGACAGCGGTCGGTTCTCAAAGTGTGACCCCCAGATCAGCAGCATTGACCTCACTGACAACTTGTTTAAAATACCCCAGACCCACTGCACTGGCAACTCTGGGGGATGGGCCCGGCATAGGGACAGAGCCCAAGGACAGGTGCATGAGGGGCGGGGGCGGGCTGGGGGGCGCTTCCCTCGCCTTTCTCTCCGGCAACTCCTGGGTGTTCATGCTGCCTTTGACCTATTTACGAAGATGCAGCCAGCACACTGGTAACTTATGTCTGAGTCTCGTTATGTTGCAAATGCCATGGAAGGCTCTGGAAGGTTAGATGACCTTTTGGAGGTCACTTAACTAGAACTGTGCAGGGCCAAGACCTCCTCGTCCACTTTCTGCAAAGCGATATGGTCCCCGAGGCCCACGTGCAGCCACTCCTTATTGGCTCGTAGAATCTGCCACAAGGAAAGAGGCATTCTTGCTTTAGCACTCAAAAAGTGACAAAACACAGAGCCACACCGGGTTATGCAAAGGTTAGTCCGGAGACCAGTGACTTTGCAAAACAGAGGTGGTGGCTTATGCTGGAACATTCACGGCTGACACCTGCAGAAAAACCTGACTTTTCGAATTGTCTCTGTGTTTCAGATCGTGTTAACGGTCAACTTCTCCTCCCGCACCACATCCCTGGACATCCAGAGAAATCTAGAGGCAAATGTGGAAAAGCGAACCAAAGACACTTATGGGCCACCCATGGGCAAGCGCCTGCTGGTGTTCATGGACGACATGAACATGCCCAAGGTGCAGTGAGTTCGGGAGGCGGGAGGCCGGGCGAGTCGGTGCTTGCGTTTGCGTTGGGAAGTGAGCGAGTTAACTCTGCACGCGGCTGCAGGTGCGGGCCCGGGGAAGCCCACGTGGGTGGCGTGTTCCCGGGACGCACGTACACGGAGGGACCTATCCCTTACTGTGTCCCTTAGCTTCCCAGAGGAGGAAGGCAGGCGGCAGGCAGCCTTTGCACTGTGTTCAGCATGAGTTTGAGTAGGTGGCTTCCAAATGAGCTCTCCTTGAGAGAATAATCCTGTTCTTGACCCCGTATACATGGGAAGCATCAGGCCAGACACTTCCCAAGAATTCCTCTGGATTTACCAAGGAAGGAAAATTTTAACTGTGTGGTGAATGTGTTTCTGGGGCCAGAGCCTGAGAAGTACAAAGTTTTGCATCTCGCATACTGGAATTTAAATTTATATCATTTCACAGAACCATTTTTTCCTGAAAGTCTATCTTCCATAAGGACTGTGTGCAAGGCCAGGACCCATCCATCCACCCATCCATTTATTTATTAATCTATCCATCTATTCTGTTTATCCATTCACCTGTTTTCCATCCACCCACCCATCTGTTTATCCAGATACCCATCTGTCTGTTCATCCATCCATCTATTATTCATCCTTCCATCTATCCATCCACCCACCCATCCTTCCATTCATTCAATTGTACATCCCTCCATCCACCCAAATGTCTGTCCATCCATCCAACCAATTTCCATCTGTCCATCCATCCATCCACCCACCCACCTATCAATCCATTCATTCAACTGTCCATCCATCCATCCATTCACTTACCCACCCATTCATCCATCCGTCCATCCATATGTTCATCTGTCCATCCACCTGTCCACCTCTCCATCTATCTAATTAACATATTTATAGAGCACCTCCTATGGGCTGGCGCTGTGCATGTGCGAAACCTGTGTAGACCCTGCCCTCATGTAGCTTGCAGTCTAGTGAGGGAGACGGGCTTAAAGCAGTAATCACACATGAATACGTAACAGCAACATCTGAGAAGCCCCGCGAAACTAAAACCAGGTGCTCCGAGAGAGCAGCAGGAGAGGCGAGCTTTAGTCTGGGGTCAGGGGAGGCCTCTCTGAGTTCTGCCTTACGCAACGCTGCTATTCTCTTTTCTCTAAACAAAAATCGAGGTGGACGAATACGGCACCCAGCAGCCGATTGCCTTGCTGAAGCTGCTGCTGGAGAAAGGCTACCTGTACGACCGCGGGAAGGAGCTGAACTGCAAGAGCATTCGCGACCTTGGCTTCATCGCTGCCATGGGGAAAGCCGGCGGAGGCCGCAACGAGGTCGACCCGAGGTTCATTTCGCTGTTCAGTGTCTTCAACGTGCTGTTCCCTTCAGAGAAGTCTTTGCATTTGATTTACTCCTCCATCCTGAGAGGCCATACCTCGGTAACTCGGTTTTAATCAGAAGTCTAAACTGGAAGACCTCGTGTCGGGGTAGAAATGTGTGTGGGGTGACGTGGCTGTCAGGCACGGCAGGGACAATGCCAAGGGCCCATGACACTTCCAAGGGCCATTGGAAATGTGTTAACTTCTTTCAAAATCAGAAGAAAAAAAAGGTCTTTATAGCAATGCAGTTAGAAAATATAACTTTACTGTATTTTTATGGGAGAAGGGCCCATGGCATTCGTGATGTGGCCCTGAGAGACGTGTGTCACACTGAGTTACGGCAGTGAGCGGACCAGGGGCCTGGGGTTCTGCGTCAGGCCCAGTTCTGCGCCGTGGGCTCTCCCGACCCCCATTCTCACCTGGAGCAGGGAGATAACAGTGGTGCCCACCTCACTGGGCTTGGGGAGAACGAAAGGCGGAAAGTGTGCGTTGCAGTGTCTAGCATGTGGCAGACACTCACTAGACGCTAGTTATTGCTGTAGTCATGACGACTCACGTGGGTGCCCCACATGGGGCCTGTTCATTTACACAGTGACCTGATCCTGACGTTTCCCTACCAAAGCAGCGTCTACATGCCCAGCTGCTGTGGGGACCAGGGGGGTGAGGTGGCAGCACGGGGTAGGTCACGCGTGAGCACCTGGCCTGCTCACGCCCTCCCTGCGGGCATTCGCTCTCAGAACGGCGAGGTCTGCGCCACTCGGACACAGCTCAGACTGAGGGCTGGCTGGGGTGTTTGGTTTCACATCATGTTGGCTGGTCAGCTAGTAAGAAAATCTAGGCTTAGAGATAAAAGTAGATCAGATGATGAGCTTCTCTGGCCTCTTAATTTCCATTAAAAATGATAAAATTCACTTAATAACCATTTTAAAGCATATGATACGGTGGCATTTAGTCCATTTATAACGTTGTGCAACCATCACCACTATCTGGTTCCAGAACGTTGCATCACCCCTAAAGGAAGCCCACTGTCAATAGCAGTTACTCCCATCCCACCCCCTTATCCCCCGGCAACCACTGATCTACTTTTTGTCTCTATGGATTCACATATTCTGGGTTTTTCATATAGATGGAGTCATACTATATGTGTCCTTTGTGTCCTGTTTCTTGCACTTAGCATGATGTTTCCAAGGTTCACCCATGTTGTAATATGTTGCTAATGCTTCACTCCTTTTTATGGCCAAATGATACGCTGTTGTATATGCATTCATTCATCTATTGACGGACTTCTAAATTTTTAGACATTTCACGAGAGCATCATGGCTGTGAGTGACAAGCTGACGTCCTGCACATTAACACTCTACGAAGACATCGTTCAGGACCTACCTCCCACTCCTTCCAAGTTCCATTACATCTTCAACCTGCGCGATCTCTCCCGGGTCTTTAATGGTCTTGTCCTCACTAACCCAGAGAGGTGAGTTTGGTTTCTCTTCATGCATTCGCCGTAGGTGGGACGATTTCTTTTATGCTTTGAAGACGGAGAACTGATCACCGATTTCGATGAGTCAGTGCATCTTAGTTACCCGATGATTCTGCTTATGTTGACTGAGAAAACAGACACATGCTTGGCGTAAGGCCAGATGCCCTGTTAAGCCCTTGAGTTGCAGACGGGCGAAGGGAAGCGGAAAGGCTGACATGGAGACAGGTGCGTCTCACCCCAGGGAATGCTTTGCTTGACCTCATTGCCAGTTCTGAAGTTGGGGTTTTCCTGCCTGGAGCCTTTCCTGCAACCCAATCGCTTCCAGTTGCTGCGTGGTGACGTGTGTGTCTTTGGGAGGAGCAAGCGGAGAACAGGAAGGATTTAAGCCTGCGTGTAGAAAATTTCCCATTAAAGCTCGACTTTCGTCCTCACATGAGCGTCTACTTTATGTCGATTTGCAAGCAGAATGCAATTACATGGATTCGTATCACGAATCAACGAAACACTGGAAAATGAGTTAAGGACCACAGACCTAGGCTTGCTCGTGGCTGCCCTTGGAGTTGTGTCGGGTGCAGTCCAGCAGGGGCAGCCCCAGGTGTTTTGGGTGGGGTGATGGCTCTTTGCCAGAAAACAGGGAAATTCTGGAACTTGGGCCAGATGGAGCTGGCTCTTAGAAAAAGGAGCTGCCAGTGGCCCTGATGCCGATTTTGAATCCATATTTTCCAGCAAGTGGGGCGACGTTAGGCACTTACTTGATGTCATTTACGCCACGTATAGATGATGCTCTTTCTCCTTCCCCACGGTAGGATAAGTTATGGGTGATGACTCTGTATTCTTTCCATTTAATTCATTAGCTTCTGCAGGGCTCTCTGCTTACATCCCATTACTGTGGCACTAGGGGGCAAAGGACCCTAGAAACGCCGGTCCCCTCCTGCGCCCTGTGTGGGCATCTGGAAACGGCAGCACAGGCCTCGCTCTGCTGCAGGGGACTTCGTGGCTGATTCTGCCCCTTTCCTCGTGCAGGTTCCAGACGGTGGCCCAGATGGTGAGGGTCTGGAGGAACGAGTGCCTGAGAGTCTTCCACGACCGGCTGATCAATGAAATAGACAAGCAGCTGGTCAGTGTGGTGATGTGGGCCAGCAAACGCGCGGCTCTAACCACAGCGCCCTCCCCTGAGTAAAACCGACGAGCGTAGAAACAACCCCGGTGTACTTGTCATATAGGACACTAATTGCAGAAAACCAGACACTAACAATAAAGGCCAACGGGTAAAGGAGGGCGGGTTGCTTATTAAGTATCTTGTAGCAAAAATTATTTTAGGTAATAACAGCGTGTACTCCTTTCCTGACAAGACCCCTGTGCATTTGCTTTCTTGAGTTTGGGTCCTTTAATGGTCTTGTGTTTTAAGGTGCAAGACCACATAAGAAGCTTGGTGACGGAACATTTTCCCGACGACCTGGAGACGGTGATGAGGGACCCCATACTGTTCGGAGACTTCCGGATGGCCCTGCACGAGGAGGAGCCGCGTGTGTACGAAGACATCCAGGACTACGAGGCGGCCAAGGCGCTGTTCCAGGTGTGGGCGGGCCTCGCCTCCTCCTAGGAGCAGGGCCGAGCGGGAGAGCTGAGTGGGAGGGCCGAGCGTGGAGTGGCGGCCCAGGAAGTAACAGCCGTGGCTGTTTCTCGGGCGTCAGATGCGGGCCTGTGTCTGACCCGGAGGCCCCCCTCCCAGCGGTGCAAGGGCAGGGCCCCTGGCGAGGCGTCTGTTAAACACAGACTCCTGGGCCTGCACCCTGAGATTGGCTTCGTTGGGCCCGCGGGGGTGTCCCTGGGTGCTGCACAGCTAGGTTTGGGGACCACTCACCTGATCCCCAACATTCATTTTCATTTACATTCACGAGATGCGCCCCGTGACCCCCTTCGGCTTGCTGCCGGCCCGTCAGAACGCAGCGGGTGGAGGTCTTGATTGTGAAGGCTGATGAGTCCTGTGATTATTTCAGCCACTGTGGATGATCAGAAAAACCTCTCCATTCTCAGTCTCTGCTGGACAGGACAGGGGAGTCCGCCTCTTAAATCCAGGGATCCTTTAAAACTTTTTTTTTTTTTTTGAATTCAGGAAATCCTTGAGGAGTATAACGAAAGCAACACCAAGATGAACTTGGTTCTCTTTGACGACGCTTTGGAGCATCTGACCCGCGTGCACCGCATCGTCCGCATGGACCGCGGCCACGCCCTGCTGGTGGGTGTCGGGGGCTCGGGCAAGCAGTCGCTGGCGCGCCTGGCCGCCTATACCGCCGGCTGCGAGGTGAGTCCGCCCGCCTCCCAGGAAAAGAGCCTCATTTGGGTTTCTGCTATTGGCAAGTCATGTGCTATCGGGACAGTCTACAGCAGATCATGCCGTGGTGTTTCCAAAGTGTATGGAAGTCCTTTTTTGGTTTGGTTTTTTTTTTTTTTTTTTTGGCTTGATCTTATTTTTACTGAATATTGAAAGCATCTAACTACAGATGCTCCTTGACTTACAATGCGGTTACATCCTGATAAACTCATCATAAGTCAAAAATACAGCAAGACAATGTGCATTTAATGTCTGAACGAACCCACTGTAAAGTGGAAAAATCGTAAGTTGAACCATGGTACGTTGGACTGTCTGTAGTGTATTGTTTTTAGAATGGAGAATGTGTCAAATTGAGTTCAAAAATCAAACCCAGGCAAGTCCTGTGGACTGTGGCGTGTGCTTACGTGGTGGGGGGCTTGGCCCAGACCATGGCGGGCCCGTTGCATGAGGCCGGCAACTTGCTGATTGCGGAATCTCTGCACGACTGGCACAGCTCGGGGTCAAGCCTAGGATTCTTTTTTAAAAACAATTTAATTGAGATGTAATTCAAGACCATATGATTTACCCACTTAAAGTGTGCAAATCGGTGCTTTTTGGTATATGCACAGATATGTACAACCATCGCCACAGTCTAGTCTGGAACAACTTCATCGCTTCAGATAGAAACCCCGTGCCTTCTCTCCCACCCCCGTCTCTGCACCCACCCTCACCTGCCCTGAGCAACTACCCACTGACCTACTTTCTGTCTCTACGGACCACCCTGCTCTAGACTTTCATGTGGGCAGACTCACATAGTGTGAGGTATTTCGGTTTGGCATAATGCTTCCAAGGTTCGTGTTGGAGCACGTGTCAGTACTTCATTTCATTTTTGGCCAAATAATATTCCATCGTATGGATGGACCACATTTTGTTTATCTGTCATCTGCTCATGGACGTTTGGGAGGGTCTTACCTTTTGGCTATTGTGAATGGTGCTGCTGTGACATGCGTGTACAGACGTGTGCGAGGACATGTGTCTTTCCTGCTCTGGGCGCACTCCCGGGACTGGGGCTGCTGGGTCATCTGGTGGCCACATAGTTAGTCATTTGCGGACCCGCCCGAGCGACTGCATCATTTTACATCCCGCCAGCAGTGTCTGCGGGTTCCTGTTTCTCCAGACCGTTCTAGAACTGTACAGGTGCCTCCTGCAGTTTCCATGGGTGACTCACCTGCAGGGCCCTCTCGAGCCGGAGGCTTGCGCCCTGTGTTGAGGCTTAATCTTGACGACGAGTCATCTCCATGATTCGCCCTTGTCTCCCCGACCCTCCTGTAGCTCTCAGGCGTCTAACTCTCCGTGGGTCTTCCCTTACCCCCACGCCTGTCTCTGCTGCACCCTGGCCCCGGTGCCTCCATCCTCTGTTGCATTCCGTGACTCACGTGGACGCCATATGGTCTCGTCCAGCCTCGGTCATTCTCAGATGCTCAGCTGTCCCTCGCACCCACCTCAGACCCATTTGAGAAGCCTGCCTTTCGAGAGGATGCTTTTGTTGGGTTTTCCTGATCCTTCCCCTAGCAAGGAAGATGTGTTCTTTTGTACAAACTTTTTCCTATTTGTCTTCTATGCATTTTCTGGATCAGATTTAACTCAGCATCATCGTCCTTATCACGGCGTCACTGGCAGTTAAGGCTGCCATAACAGAGTGCCCTAGACTGGCTTGTGGGCAACAGAAATTGATTTCCTACAGTTCCGGAGGCTGGGGACTCTGAGACCCGAGTGCTGGCATGGTCAGGTTCCAGCGAGGTCCCTCTCTGGGTTGCGGACGTGGCTGACTTCCCTTTCCCGTGGCTGAAAGAGAGAGAGAAGGGCCTTCGGGGGGTCCCTTTCATAACAGCACGAATCTCAGGCGTGAGGACTCCCCCATCACCTAGGGACCTCCTAACAGCCCGACCACCACCCTGGGGTTTAGGGTTTCAGCATACGGAGTTTGGGAGGGGGACGCACACATTGAGTCCACTGCACACGGTGATCACTATCATCGTGAATTCTCTCGCTTTTCTCTCTGAATGTAATATATAATACAGCCTCATTGCAACAGTTCAGAACGTGCAGAAAATCTAAAGAAAATAAGGATCACCTGTAATCTCATAACCTAGAGATGGACACTGTTACTGGTGACATTTTTAGCGAGCAGTTGCTCCTCAGCTCGCCACGCTTGCACCGGGGCGCAGCCCCATCGTAAGTCGAGGAGTGTGCTGAGTGGCCGCATCTCGCTTTTGCACTGTCGGAAAGTCAAACAATCTCAAGTCCAGCCATCGTTAGTTGGGGACCGTCTGTATGTTCTTCCACTTTTCTATGAATGAAAAAGTTCTATGATTATACAAACACATTTACTTCTTACCAGCAACGGGTTAATATTAATATTATATATAACTTTGGTAATACGTGTTTTTCCCACTGTATCACTGACATCTTTTCAAGCCAGTGCAAATACATATTTGTATCATCTTTTGAAACACTGGACGGTGTTCCGTTGCGTGGGTATGCCATACGTGACCCATCTCTGTTGGTGGACACGTGGCTTTCCCCTTGGTTTACTATAATAAACAGTGCAGGGATGAACATCTTTCTTCATATATCTTTGAACACTGTTCAGTGTTTTTCATAGGATCGCTCTGTAGAAATTGGGGAATTGGTGAGTTAAAGGGTATATGGTTTTTAAAGACTTCAGATACGTGGGGCCTGCTTTCTCATTGGAAAGGCTGGACCTGAATGTACTTGGACGGCGAGTAAAAAGGGCCTGGGAATGCAGGCGAAGGGGTGAGGCTTTAACCTGATTTGTGACTTAGTTGAAAATGGGCTTGAAGCAAATATGACAAAGTTTTTTTCAGTAAATGTTAAATGTGAGTGGTAGTTATAGAAGCATTATGTTATTCCTTATATTTGGTTTATTTATTTATTTATTTCTTAAGAGATGGGCTCTTGTTCTTGCTCAGGCTGGTCTTGAACTCCTGACCTGGAGCAATCCTCCCGCTTCAGCCTCCCAGAGTGCTAGGATTATAGGCGTGAGCCACTGTGCCCAGCCATTATTTTTAAAAATGTCTTAATAACCAATCACACCCCCACAACAAAGGATTATGCTAATTTATGCTATCCGCAATGTCTATTTTCTGCATATTCTTACCGATACTAGGTATTGTCATTCTGATATTTGCTAATATTATAGATGGAAAATATTGCCGTTTAAATGATCTTTTCTTCAATAGTGAAGTTTGAATATCTTTTTATATATTCATTAGACACTTGCCTTTTCTCTTTTGTAAGTTGCCTCTTTATATATTTATTGATTTGAGAGAACTCTTTATATACGAGAGTGATTATGGTTCATTCAATGAATACAGCTTACATTATTTCACAAATATTGACCTTTTGTCTAAAGTATTTCTAAAACTTTAAAACAATGAAACAACTCTAAAACAATGAAAAACTAACATGCCTGAGTTACCTTTAAATCTGATAAAATATGTGATTGAATTCATTCATTATTTATTTTTTTTGAGACAGAGTCTTGCTTTCTTGCCTAGGCTAGAGTGAGTGCCGTGGCGTCAGCCTAGTTCACAGCAACCTCAAACTCCTGGGCTCAAGCGATCCTCCTGCCTTAGCCTCCCGAGTAACTGGGACTACAGGCATGCGCCACCACGGCTCATTTTTTCTATATATATGTTAGTTGGCCAATGAATTTCTTTCTATTTATAGTAGAGACAGGGTCTCGCTCTTGCTCAGGCTGGTTTTGAACTCCTGACCTCAAGCAATCTGCCCGCCATGGCCTCCCAGATTGCTAGGATTACAGGCGTGATCCACTGCGCCTGGCCGAATTCATTCATTATTAAAATACAGTTGTTATAGGATGTTTCTACATTTTTCAGCAGGATAAGACGTTCCCCTCTGGCAAGTTGATTTTTTCTGTTGATTTGTCCAGGTGAATCTCAGGCATTTTCCCAACACACCACCTTGAGGAGAACAGCAGAGAGGGTGTCCAGGGACAGAGGCTGGGAGGAGGATGACACACAGGGCGTGGCTGGGCCCTGGGAGGCAGAGGGCTGGGGGAGGGATCAGAGCAGGCCTCCACGCAGAGTGGGGGCTGTAGGCTTCGGACAGATCTGAGCGCCGGAGTCTACCGGCCGGTGTGTGATCGCGTGTGTGAGTGCACAGGGTCGGGAACAGAGACTCGGTTACTGGAAATGTGACGTGTTTCCAAAATTACGGTTGCCTATCGCAGCGAAAGGTTTCACTTCCACTCTGAGCTAAAGTAAATGCTTGAACAGAAAAGGTGTGTCCTTACTTACAGTCATATCTATTTTGTTTGTAAATAGCATTTCCCAGTTTAAGAATTTAGAATGGCTTCTCATTGAATTTCTTTACACGTCTTCCCACGACGATTTATCCATTTTCATGTCAACTCTAGCGCGTGGCTGTGCACACTTTGGGGGGTGTGTGATCTTCCTCCTCTCCTCCCAGGCCCAGCCCCTGGCTGCTTCCTTCCCGCCTCCCCGTCCTGCCTCCCTCCCTCTTGGTGGCTCCGAGGCCTCGTTTTTGTTACAGGGAGGCCTTCCCAGACCCACGTTCTCCCATGTGGACGGCCCATGCCTGCTGCACGTGGCCAGCAGGGGAGGAGGACAACAGGTGGCCGCGACGCTGTGCTCTGTGGCTTGGTGACGCTGCGCCCTGTGGCCCGGTGGCGCCGCGCCCTGTCGCTTGGTGACGCCGCGCTCCGTGGCCTGGTGACAGTGTGCTCTGTGTCGGCAGGTGTTCGAGATCATGCTGAGCCGCGGCTACGCAGAGAACAATTTCCGGGATGACCTGAAGAACCTCTATCTGAAACTTGGGATCGACAACAAAATGATGATCTTCTTGTTCACGGACGCGCACGTGGCCGAGGAGAGCTTCCTGGAGCTCATCAACAACATGCTGACCTCAGGTGCCGACAGCCGCTGTGAGGGGAGGGAGGGCCTTCTCCAGCACTCGCCACCTGCGGGCGGGCGCGGCCTCGCCTGCGCGGCCTGCCCCCTCCTGTCCGCGGCAGCCCAGGGGTCTTGTCTCCTTGCCCTACACGAGAGCCCGGGCCCTGCGTCCTGAGGTCTTGTCCGTGCGTGTGGCAATAGTGTGTGTCACGCAGCCCTCCTGAGTGCGTGTGGTGCGTCGCGTAGCGTGGCGAGGAAGGCACTGTTACCACCCTGGCTTCACAGCCGAGGAAACTGAGGCACAGAGGCGCGCCGTAGAGGGCTGAGTCATGGCCCCTCAGATACGTTCTGGTCCTCAAGCCCTGGGACCTGTGAACGGGGCGTCACTAAGGAGAAGGGTCTTTGCAGAAGTAGTTAAGGATCTAGAAGTGACATCCTGGATTTCGGATGGGCCCTAAACCCAACGACAGTGGTCCTCGTCAGAGGCAGCAGGGGGTGTGAGTCAGAGGATGAGGCCACGCAAAGACGAGGGCAGAGATTTCCACGCGCAGAGGGGTGTCTGCAGCCGCCGGGAGCCGGACGAGGCGAGGAAGGACCGACCCTCCCCTGCGGCCTTTGGCGGATGCCCGGCACCCCGGTCTCAGGCCTCTAGAACTGGGAGAGGGCACATTCCTTTCTTTATCCTTTTAAGCTGCCCAGTTCGTGGTAGTGAATTACGGCAGCTGAGGAAACTGCTACCGCTAACACCGCACGTGTCCAAGGGCACCCGGGGACTTGAACCCGGACCTTCGGCATCACAGCTCTGCTCATAACCACTTTGCCGTGTCACAATCCTGTCTGCCTAGGAACCCATGAACGTTTGGGGACCTCTTTTCTTTCCCAGGGAGCCGTTACGTTTAGCGATTGTTCGTTTTGGCACCTGTGTCCCTTATCGTGTCGCTGTGTCGGTCATGGAGTCTATCACAGACAATTGCAAACATGACAGTAAAGCTGAAAAGATGTCACAGCAAACACCCGTGTGCACGTGTCTAGACGCCACGGTGCCTGCGTCACTGCTTGCTGGATCACGCGTGCGAACACGCTCCCTCTCTCCACACGTCCGGTTCCCGGCAGCAGCAGGGCCAGTCGTACCTTCAGCTTGCTCTCCCCTCAGTGCTGCCGCATGCCTGTCACCTGTCACTGTCTAGATCCAATTTTTATCGTGTTTTTCTTTTCATGCAAAATTTAAACACAACGAGAGGCACACATTTTAAAGTGTGTATTTGCTGCGTTTAGATCACTGAGTTTTACGTCACGTCTGTTTCAATGGGCCATAAGCTTTTTGAGGCTGGGGACCATGTCAGCCACTGGGACTGACTCCACAGCGTTCATTCCAGACACCGGATCGGGTAGGGCGTGAGACAGGCATGGCCTCTGCCCTCCCCGAAGCCGAGAGTCCAGGGTTTGTGTGGGCTGATTGACATCAACGACAAAGACACACAAAGATGCACGGTGATCACAAATCTCGAGAGGTGCTATGCATGAAAAATACAGCTGCTTGGGAGAATTCGGGCAGGGCCCGTCTCAGTTTGGACAGGGAGGCGTCGCTGGAAAGAGACTTTTCCTGTGACACCTGACAGATGGCGTATTAGTTCCTGTGGCTGCTGTAACAGATCAGTCCGGATGTTCTGACATAAGCCGGCACCTCTACCTGGCGTGTACCCAAATCCCAGGTGGCCATAGGTGGGGCAGGTCAGCGTAAAATGCCTCCTTTGTCTGAGCTAGGGGGCAGCTCTGGGGAGCGCTTCCCAAGTCTAATTCCCAGGAGCCTAGGCCCTGCCAGGTTAACCCTTTCCTGCATGGGAAAGCATCAGGCATTTAATAAAGACACGTTGCATAATTTGAAATGGTGCAGAGATAGGGAAAAGAAGTCTCACTGGCTGGGGCTTCTCAAAGGCAGCCCGGCTGACGCTGGGTCTGGGCTGTTCTTTGTGGTGGGGGCTGTCCTGGGCGTTGCAGGATGTTTAGCAGTAGCCCTGGACTCTACCTATTGGACGCCAGTAGCGCCCCTCCCCCATCCCAAGTTGAGACAACCAAAAACGTCCCTAGACATTGCTAAATATTTACTGGGGCACAAATCAAGCCCAGCTGAGAATTCCTGCTTCAGAGTCAGAGGCGGGTGACTGTGGTCCCTTTCATGCTCACAGTAACCCTCCCAGGTAAGCAGGAGGAGTTTATTATGCCCATTTTGCAGATGAGGAGCTTGAGGCTTGAGGGGTTTTGCTCATGGGGGGCGAGTGAGCCTCGGGTATCAAAGTCAGGGCCCAGCCCTCCTCGGCAGCTTGTCCGTGACCTCGTGCTTCCGCTATTTCGCTCAGTGCCTGGGAGAGGTAATGACCTTGAGACAAAAGAATACCACGCACGCGTCTTTGTTTTCTAGGAATCGTGCCTGCGCTTTTCCCCGAGGAGGAGAAGGAGTCCATCCTCAGCCAGGTCGCACAGGAGGCCGTGAAGGCGGGCATGGGGCCGGCCAAGGAGTCCGTGTGGCAGTTCTTCGTGAACAAAAGCGCAAACAACCTGCACATCGTCCTGGGCATGTCGCCCGTGGGGGACACCCTGAGGACCCGGTGCAGGAACTTCCCAGGTACCCTCGAGCGGAGCCCGCGGGCCTGTTTCCCTGCCTGCAGGGCGTGTGCGCTGGGGGTCCACCCACCTCTGGAGGCTCCACCTGCAGAGAGCGGGAGAGGAGCCTTGTGCTGAAATGTGGCCCCGCACGGTAGGGTGGGCCTCCCCTGCTTGCAGGGCTCAGGCGTAGGGGACTAGGTGGCGTCCACAGCGGGGGGAGGGTGGCTCTCTGCTCCCTCCCATCTGGGAAAACTCTGCCAGTACCTGCCCTTAGACAGAGGCTCCTAATAGGAGGGGGATTCTGTCTCCTGCAGGGGCATCTGGCTGTGCCTGGAGATGTTTTTGGTTGTCACAAGGCAGGGAGGGGTTGAGGGACACTACTGGCATCCAGTGGGTGGAGGCTGGATGCTGCCAGACACCTGCCACGCACAGCCAGCCCCTGCAGTGGGACCCTCCGGCCCCAAATGCCAACAGTGCCGAGGCTGAGAAACTGCTCCTGATGAGTCAGACTTGGACGCGTCCGGCTCCAATTCGCCAATCCGTGGGCTGCGGAAGATGGTGTCGAGTTCCTGAGCCCATCTCAGGGCTGCAGAGTGAGCATCTTCTTCGTCTCTTGTCTTTTCAAGGTCTGGTAAACAACACTGGTATTGACTGGTTCATGCCCTGGCCTCCCCAAGCCCTGCATGCGGTGGCTAAGTCATTTCTAGGTAAGTCACAGCTACTATGGGGACTACATTGTTGGTATAACAAAGAGATTTATTATCACTTTTCCGTCTTTGAATTTGGTCCAGGAAATTCCTTCACTGGAAACTCCTATGGTAAAATGGTTTTTCATTTTAGGTCTATATTGTGTTTTAGTCCAAAGGGATTTCAGGAGACTTACAAGGGCAATTTAGGATAAAAATTGACTAGGTGTCATCTAAAATATGAGTTGGCAAACCATGGCATGCTGCCAAATTGGCCACCACTTGTTTTGGTAAATAAAGTTTTATTGGTACACAGACTCACTCACTAATTAACATACTGCCTATGGCTGCTTTAATGCTACAACCGCAAAGCTGAATAATTGCAACAGGGACTGTGCTCTTACTGGTTGGCTCTTCGAAGGAAAAGTGTGCTGGTACTCCAAGCGTGCCCCATGGACCTTTCAGTAAATATCATCGATCAGCACTGAACTTCTCTCTAAAGTTTCCAACACCTAAGGCCTTGTATATTTATTTAAATCTTTGAATAAGAAAGCAAGTCCTTTTATCTTTTAGAGAAAATATTTTTCTTTGGACCTAGCTTGCGCAGATTTATGCCAAATGACCCTGGGTGACTTTGTAAATGTATATCCAATAAATAAGTGAATAGTCCCTCTACACAAGCAGAAGTCCTAACTTATAATAGTTTTTTTTTGGCAAAGGGGGCTTTTCTTATTACTTAACTCAGGGGGTGGAAGCTTTTTTATAAAGTTCCAGATGGCACTTATTAATATTTACAGCTCTGTTGGAACTACTCAGTCTGCCACTGTATCATGAAAGCAGTCACAGACAATATGTACGTGAATGGCTGTGGCCGTGTTCCAATAAAACTTTATTTACAAAGAAAAGTGGTGGGCTGGCTTTGTCCTTGTGTTTGTTGTTTGCCAACCTGAAAGAGGGGTGCCTGGTTTGCATGGGGGTGTGAACCATTTCCAGGGTTAGCACTTGGGTTTGCTTTCAGTATTCTGTGTGAACACTGTGCACAAGAATCTGTTTGAGTCCCCGTTTTTAGTTCTTTGGGGGTGGGTCTCGTGGTAATTCTATATTTAACTTCTCGAGGAACTGCTGTTTCCTTTCTTTAAGGGGCACCTTTTCCATTCCTTCCTCTTCAGGGGATAACCAGATGATTCCGCCGGAAAACACGGAAGACCTGGTAGAGCACGTTGTCCTGGTTCACGAATCCGTGGGGCAGTTCAGCAAACAATTCCTGCAGAAACTGAGACGCAGCAACTACGTGACTCCCAAGAACTACCTCGATTTTATTAACACCTACTCGAAATTACTGGATGAGAAAACTCAGTATAATATAGGTAAGACTTGGGGGTGGGACGGCTAACAGAGGTCATTATCACGAGTAAGAGTTCAAGCACTAGATCTTTTCTTGAAGCAGATGTTTCTTAGCAGGGTGAGGCCAAGCATTTGGCCTTTGGGACTTTGCATTTTGGAGTCATTCTTCTGTGTGGGCAGGGCTCTGGCGTGCTGTTAGTTTTAGCTCAGTGTCGGGCCATACACCTTGTCGCTCTACGTTTCCATCTCAGTAGGGAGACTGTTCAATGCGACGCGCTCTGTTACGAAGGGCTTTTAAGAAAATGCCCTGGCGCTGGTGTTGGCCAAGGGACAAGCTGTTTTCTGACACATAGTCATGTTGGCTGGTGCCGTCCCAAAGGATGCGTGACAGCTTGTAAAAATGATTATTTTTCGGTGAGCCCGAGTCTGGCGAACCTGGTGAGCGCTGGCTCGCCCGGGTGCGTTCGGAACAGCAGCAGCCTCAACAGCGAGCCGGCCGCTCTCTCCCCAGCCCAGTGCAAGCGTCTGGAGGGCGGCCTGGACAAGCTGAAGGAGGCCGCCATCCAGCTGGACGAGCTGAACCAGAAGCTGGCCGAGCAGAAGATCGTGCTGGCGGAGAAGTCGGCCGCCTGTGAGGCCCTGCTGGAGGAGATCGCCACCAACACCGCCATAGGCAAGCGGGGGTGGCCAGGGGCGGGCCCACGCCCCAACAGGACGGGGTTCCACTGGGGACGTCCTTGAGAAGTCACTTGTTGGCTTTGAATGTGGCATCTCTGATGCTTTGATTCCTGTTTCTTCCCAAGCTCCTGTCCGGCCAGCCCTGTCCCCCTTCGTAAGCACTGAGACTCTCAGCAGGGCCCCAGCAGGCAGCTTGGGGATTTGACCGGGTGTGGAAACATCAGTTTCTTGACCTTCAACAAGCACATGGGCTGAGTGCCTGGAGTTGAGATGGCCGGAGCCTAGCATCCTTTGTGTGGGGCTGTCCTGGTTCTCCCCAAAGCTATTGCAAGCTTCTCTCCTGGCCCTGCACCTGGGCCTCCTGGCGGAGCGGCTGTGCTTGCCTGGGCCGCCCCGCTTCTGGGGCGCCTGCTGTCACAGGTCTCACAGGAGACCGCGCCCTGGCCTCTCGCCTTCTCTCCAGGTCTTTGGGCTCCTGTCTCCTGCCCACCTTGTACATCGTTAGGATCCTGATCCTGCGCGGCCACTTCCCTGGTGCAGAAGCCACCTGACCTCCCTGCCCCCTTCTCCTTCCAGTCCACACGTGTGTGGCTTCTGAGTGTGATCTTGGCTCAGTCCCGCTGCCACTGCACCAGGCCTGTGCACAGGGTCCGCTTGCCACCACTCTGGTGACAGCGCCCCAGCGTGGCCTGGGCAGACCGCCTCTCCCCAAGTCCCCAAGCGTGCTGTCAGGATGGACACTCCAGCCCTGGTTCTCCTGGACTGCACATTTCGAATTGGCCAACGTGAGACCGAAGATAACTTGAGTTCATGCATCCCACATCAGCGCCGTGAAGAGACTCTTGTGCATCACGCGTCCAAGCCCAGATCCCTGGAGTTGCCTTGTCTGTCTTTTGGCATCGTGCGCCTCTCTGAGCTACGCTCTCTCTGCACAACAGATTCTCCTAACCTGACCTTGTTGGTTTCTGTTGCTCGCAACCAAAGCAACTTAACCGACGGCGATCCCTTCCCTGTCATTCATGGCAACTCTCGATGCCTGTTTTTGTGCTGAACGCTTGGTGAGGCTGAGAAGGGTCCCCGTTGATCTCTCCGTGTCACCTGGCCCAGCTCATTTCCCTGGACACGTGTCCCCTGTTCACCGTGTCATTCCTGTGTGCCCACATGACTCTTGCAGCAACTTGTTCTTTTCCTCCCTGTGCTTTGCGCAAAGAATACCCTCTTCCCTCTGCCCCCTCCCCTGATGCCCAGGCTGCAGTTTGGACTGAGGGTGACCTGTTTGCCATCCCCACATTTAGTGGCTTTCCCATCTGTGGCTGTTTTCCCTTCCCTATTGCCATCATGCTTGTCCAGGATCACTTTGCTCCCACTTGGACTTTTGAAGGTAACCTCATCTGGGATCTCTGCCTCCAGGCTGCCCATCCCTATCAGGACTATTTTGGAAACTGAGCTCAAAGTGACATAAGCTCAAGTGGAAATGCATTGATTTGGAGGTGTGCTGGCTTCAGGCACAGCTGGATCTAGGGGCTCAGATGTGCCAGTGGGAATCCGTTCCTTTCCCTTCCTTGGCTCTGCTGTTTTCTGTTTGGGCTTCATCTCAGGCCACAGGCCCTGTCCACGCTCGGGGTACAGGAGCCCCCAGCACGAGGCTGGCATCCTGCCAGCGCAGCACCCTGGGGTGTGTTTATGGGCCGCCTACTGCCATATGATGTCCTATGGCTGCCATAACAAAGTTCCATGAGCTGGGTGGCTTAAAACAACCAAAATTGAATTCTCACAGTTCTGGAGGCCTCGAGTCTGAAATCCAGGTATGGGCAGGACCTGGGAGAACCCTTTCTGGCCTCTTCTGGCATCTGGAAGGCAATACGTGGCCTTCGGTGGCTTATAGGTGCGTCACTCTGATCTCTGTCTCCATTGTCATATGACCTTCTTCCCCGTGTGTCTTTACGTGGCTTTCTTATAAGGACCCCAGTCTTTGGATCTAAGCGCAGAGTTGGAGTGGCTGCCTGGAGTCTGAGGCCCAGACGCAGTGAGCGTGTCTGCCCCGCCAACAGAGCCCGGGACCCCACGCCGGCCAAGCTCCCTGGACCCCGGCGCAGACCCGCCTGAGTTCCGTGCTCGGCCTGGGCCCAGGGGCCAAGTGCGCCCGCCCCTCCCCGCTCCCAGTGGCTTCACTGGCCTCCCTCTCCCCCCCGCAGCGGAGGAGAAGAAGAAGCTCGCGGAAGAGAAGGCCATGGAGATAGAGGAGCAGAACAAGATCATTGCGGTGGAGAAGGCCGAGGCCGAGGCGGCCCTCGCCGAGGTCATGCCCATCCTGGAGGCCGCCAAGCTGGAGCTGCAGAAGCTGGACAAGTCGGACGTGACGGAGATCAGGTGCGCGGCGCGGCCTCCCTGCCCTGTGCCGACCCCCATCTCACCGGGTCGCATGCGCATTCCCAGACGGGCCGGTCCCCGTGGCCCCACAGGCAGGTCTCACCACTGGGGACACTCCCGTTTCCGGGCCGGTGGCTGACTTTCCGCCGCGGGCTCCTGGCGGAACGGTGCCCGTTCTCCACAGGGCCTCTCTCCGTGGTCCTCCGTGTAACTGCGTGTGCCGAGCAGCACATCTGGTTGAAGGCCGTGCCCTTGCGTTCTTGTTAGTGAAACGTATGCGGAATTGGATGCAGGATTCGGCTCCTTCCAGGACAGGGGACCTGAGTCCTTCCCAGGAGGTCACCCGGAAGTCGTTATTTCAGTGTAGTGTTCGCAAAGTGTGAGACCACAAAGGTACAAGGATGGGACAGTGCAACACCACGTGGGGCAGTTGAGTCGCCAGGACGCAGTCTGAATGTGCACCAGGCCGAGTGGCGGCACGGGCCGTCAACATACACAGTTCCGTGACTTGGGGCACCGCTCCCAGGGCAGCAGCATGAAGACACTGTGAGAGCAGAGAGTCGGGAAGGATTTTTGAAAGAGATTTATTTGAAGAGAAGGGTCTGTGAGTCCCCCATCAACCCAAGGAAGGAAGGGTGGGGGAGGGGTTCCATGGGATCACTCGGGGAGCTTGACGTGTGTCCCCTGCAGTGAGACAGACATTAGGACAGGTGCCCAGCTCTCCCCGAGAAAGTCGAAGTGGCCTGTAAGGAGTCATTTTTTAAAATGTCATTATTGGAACATGTAACACATTCATGCATGGCTCTGCCCCTTATCTGCTGTGTGACCTTTGGCAAGTCATCTGACCTCTCTGTGCTTCAGTTTCTTTGTTTGTAAAATGCGGATGATATTTGTCTCCACCACATCAGGGTCTTCTTTCTTTCTCTCTTTTTAATGAGGCAAGGCCTTGCTCTGTCGCCCAGGCTAGAGTATAATGGTGCAATCAAGCTCACTGTAAACTTGAACTCCTGGGCTCAGGGGATCTTCCCACCTCAGCTGCCCGAGTAGCTGAGACTATAGGCACACCCCACCACACCCGGCTAATTTTTAAATATTCCGTAGAGACAGGGTCTTGCTATGTTGCCCAGGCTGGTCTTGAACTCCTGGGGTCATGTGATCCCCAAAGTGCTGAGATCAAGGTGCCAGCCACTGCGCCCGGCCTACCAGGTCACGGTCTGTGTTAGGGTCCCATGCGCCGGGACACGATGAGCTCTCAGACCCGTGCGGGGCCGTGGACGTGTTAGCCGTTGCCGTGGTTCCAGTGTCACAGGCGCACCTGGAAAAGCCCCCGCTGGGTCCTCCCCGGGCTTCGTTCCGCCCCTGCTCTGCGACAGGTCACCACCGCCGTCCGCCTCCCACCTGTCCCTCCAGAGGGCTGTGCATGCTCAAGGCAGCCAGCCACACGGGGGCTCTTCAGATCCTGACTTGGATTCCGAGGGTTTGGGGAGCGAGGGATACCATCAATCCTTTTTTTCCTTCCTTTTATATAGAAATGGTAACACGCTGTGCGTTATTTTGCATCTCTTCTGCTTAGCGATGCATTTTGACTGGCTTTTGCATGTTGATCTATGATGAGCTTCCCCAGTATTTTAAAATAGCCCCATCCCATCCCATCGTGTGGCTGGGCTGTGCCGTCGTTTATTTAACCATCCCCTGCTGAGGGACCTTTAGCTCGGCTCCAGTCTTTTGGCTTTACAAACACGGTGGCAAAGAAGAAACCCGACTGTACTTCGTGTTTCATTGTGCACTAGGGCAGGGCTACCTGTAGGATGCATTTCCGGAGGTGGAGTTGCTGGGCTCCAGGCTGTGTGCCTTCCTGACGCCACAGCTGCCACGGGATGCCCCGTGGGGATGGAGCCGGTCTCCACGCTCACCCGACATCCAAGCACGCGGCACCTGCCTTTTGCCGACCTCACCAACAGAGGGTGCCATTCAACACTTGGATTTGCTCATCTTGCTGCTGAAGAGCCGTATTTGTGCGTTTTAATTTGCATTTCTCTTATTATGAGTGAGGCTGGCCCTTTTTTTCACATATGGAAAAGTCTGTATCAAAGTTACATGTGTTTCCTTTTCCGTGAACTGTTTTGTGCTTTGTCCGTTTATCTGTTGGGTTGTTGCTATTGTTGCTTTTTGTTTCTTCTTACCCATTTCCAGGGCCTTTTTCTATAACACGGAGATTCGCTTTTTATCCATCACGCGAGTTGCAAATCTTTGCCCAGCTTTTGTCACTGGTGGTTGGACTTTGTTGATGAGGGGTGTGTGTGTTTGCCGTGTTTATTTTTATGTGGCAGATTTGAGCAGTATTTTGTGGTTTTTAAATATTGTGCTGTAGTTAGGCTTTGCCACTGCAAGACTGTAAAATAATTTCCCTGTGGTTTCTTTCTGCACCTTTATGGTTTAATTTTTTATATTGGAATATTTTATCTATTGGGGATTTCTTTCCCGGGGTTCCCTGTGCGGGGCCCACTTTGTTTTTTCCAGATGACTAGAGTCTGGCTTTCTTCAGGCCATTTTGATGTTAAGCACAATGAGCCGGCACTTACAGCTGGCAATTTCATAATCCATTAATTCCTTAAGAAAGCACTTCCTTCCTTTAATACTCAGTCCCCTTTGCAGAAGTCATTAAACGTTAAGGCGACGAGGAGTAACGAAGATTAGCAGTGGACGTTTCTCCACCATAACAGTATAAAAGGCTCCCTTTGTCACTGGCCTTCTGTCTCACTTTTCTTCCTTTCGTTCATTCCGCAGCAGTCGCTGGGGTTACTGGCGGCGAGCCCGGCAGGCGGCGTCGTTGCCGCAGTCTGTTTTGGGACATGATGTAGGGGGTCAGGAGGGGAAGGTCCTGGCTGCCCCGACGGTGGCTGATGTGGACCTGCCCGGACCGTGGCTCTGCAGGCCGAGCGGGCGGCTTGAGGGACAAGCGGAGATGGTCGGGGTGTCTGGTTTGTGATGACTCTTTTCTTCCAGGGAGGGCAATGTAGCACCCCCCTCTCTCATCCCTGGGTTTATTTTGTGATAGAAGACAGGAATCCAGTGAAGCTGGGCATCTCTGTTTCTCTGACTAGCAGCCTCTGCATCTCAAACACCTCTGTTATCCAGCACTGGGGACCGGGATGCTCTCTGGATAAATGAGGAGTCCCAGGGCACGGTCTGTAAGCTGACAGCAGAGAACTTCTCTTTTACTGACACACAGGATTTTGGAGCTGGAAGGTTCTGGTTCTGTGTCTCCACTTTACAGATGGGAAAACTGAGACCCCTGGCTGGTTCCTAACTTGCCCAAGGGTGCAGGACCCCACCCCTCAGGCCAGGGGGCTCTTTCTGTCTTGGATCTGAAAATATCTCACTGATCCTTTCCACCCCTGATTATTGAGAGAGCAGTGGCCGGGGCCTGGCTTTCATCAAGCCTGACGGGGGACCTTTTAAAGCCAGCTGACAACATCGCCCGCTTTCGTCAGCGCCGCGTAATTGAACCTTTCTCTGGTGACTCAGGGCCATTACTCTAATCATCCGGCTTTGTGCTGTAGTCTGGGTATCCTCCCTCCTGGCCGCTGCCCTGGCTTTTCCTTACTCTGTGGTTCCCTCTCCCCACTCCCGTCTGCAAGGGGGTGGGGGGATCCGGGGCCAGACGGGCGGGTGTGGGGTGCCCCCGCAGAAGGTCTCCAGACTGCTGTCTGCTCCGTGTCTCCTCCCTCTGTCTCTGTCTCTCTCTGCTCTGTGCCTCTTGCTCTGCTCTGCTCCGTCTGCTCTGCTCGGTCTCTCTCTTGCTCTGTGCCTCTGTCTCCCTCTGTCCCTCCCTGTCCCTTTGTCCTTCCTTCTCTGGCTCCCCCCGGCCACCTCCTGGAGCAGAACACAGAGGCCTGGGCTGCAGCCTGTCTCCCCATGCTGCGGCTGTGCACTCCAGGGGCCTCTGCCTCCTGCTCTGCTCCCCGTCTTTTCCTTCCTTTCCTTTTTTCCTTTGTCTTTTCTGCACCGTTCTCCTCTTGCTTCTGTCTCCACGGCGTTCGCTGGCGGGCACCCACTCTGGGAGGCGAGTCAGTTCCCCCTCGGGCCTTTGCACCCAGGCCGCCTCTGGTTTCTCCCGGGGTCCCAGTTCTCTGGGGGGTCGAGGGCGCAGACGTCAGAGTGTTGGAGGCCCGTCTGGTCAAAGCCAAAAAAAAAAAAAAAAATCACATCTGGGGCAACATGGCCTGGGAAGAGCCTAGACGGGGGACCCCAGACCTCCCAGGCTGCTTCGCAAGCACACAGAGCCCTGTTTCTTCATCTGGGAGTGGGGAGAGATGGTGGCGATAATGACAATAATGACAGCAGCCACCATGTAGAATCTGAGGAGCCACCCCAGGGTGTCATTAAGACACAGATTCCCAGGCTCCGCCCTGGCCCCGGGGTGGCCTCGGTTTGCATTTTAATGACCACCCCCGAGACTCTGGTCCCTGCCTGGGTCCCAGGACCGTCCCTGTCCTCGGAGCGGCTCCCACCGGAGCCCCGTCCGTGCTGGGACCTGGCTCCGAGTGTCTCCGTGCGGCGCCGCCTCTGGGGAGCGGCTTCCGGGTGGACGTCGTGCCTGGAGCTGCTCCAGCCGGCTCCTGCCGCGCCCGGGGCCACCGAGTGTGTGTCTGTCCCTCGCCAGGTCGTTCGCCAAGCCCCCGAAGCAGGTGCAGACGGTCTGCGAGTGCATCCTCATCATGAAAGGGTACAAAGAGCTCAACTGGAAAACCGCCAAGGGCATGATGTCCGACCCAAATTTCCTGCGGTCTCTGATGGAGATCGATTTCGACTCCATCTCCCAGGGCCAGGTGAAGAATATCAAAGGTGAGCGGGCTCCAATGCGGGCACGGCCATGGTTGACCTCGACTGGGCGTCTTGGTCTCTGGGACGGGGACGGAGCGGCAAGGAGGGGACTTGTCACCGGCAGGCCCTCCCCTGTGGTCAAATGGTGCCACCGAGGCCCTGCTGATGGAGCGGGAGACAGACTGTCCCCCGAGGGAGACGGTGCCCATTATGCGAAACAGCGAGAGAGGCCCGGGTGGGGGTGGCCGAGGGTGCCACTGGGTGCCGGGTTCATGTGGGCTCTAGTCGTCCTGGTCGGGAGACAGGAGCGTCTCACGGGGACCCAGCCCAGCCTGTCCTCCGTGCGGCTCACGTGATGCGCACGGTGGCGCAGAGAGGCGGTCTGACCTTGACTTCTCCCCTCGCCCCTCCTGGCAGTATAAAGTCGTCTTTCGGGGCCTGGGCAAGGGGCAGAGGCCCACGTCACCCATAGCCAGCCCCTCCATCTTTGGTGACAGAACCCTGAGTTCCCTTCGAGTGGGTGTGTGGCAGGGAGGACTGACGTTGTCCTTTGCAAACAGCAATGCATTTCGTACCGTGTTTGACGGTTTGAGTACAGCTTATCATCAAATGCTCTTTCGCAGCCCCTTAAGAACGAAAGTAAAGTAAGCACAAACAATAACAACAGCCACAAAGACCCAAGGCACTCCCGTCCCTCATACTGCCTGGATGGAGTCCTTCCGTGTGAGAGACTCCTGGGGTGAGGACGCAGGTAGAGGTGACAGGTGACCCGTGATGGCCGACAGATCCCGGTTAACGGCCTGTGCGGAGCAACCCTGGTGCCTGTTGGGGGTCCCCGTCACGCCCTGATTCCCCAGATCTTCTCGGTGTCCTAGGATGTCTCTTATTCACGTCTCAGACATCCGCTCACGCACCGTGGGGTGGCCCACACCGGGGTCCCGGGAGCACTGCCCAGATTCTGCTCACTGAGGAATAAGGAACTTGCTACGCTGACTGTGTCCACAGGCAATTTATCCCTGTTTTATTTTCCCAAGTTGAAGCTCACCACCCATACGAACACTTGCGCTTTTGACCGCAGGCCTCCTGAAGACTCTGAACACCACCATCGAAGAAATGGAAGCCGTGAGCAAGGCCGGGCTGGGGATGCTGAAGTTCGTGGAGGCCGTGATGGGCTACTGTGACGTCTTCCGAGAGATCAAGCCCAAAAGAGAGAAGGTATCGCCCGTCCCCAACACGGACAACCCGCTGGAGTCAGCATTAACGTGCTCACACCTTTGCTGAGAAAACTCTGGCAGGGTGTGGCTTTAAAGAGCATAAACAGTTCCTTTCCCGCCCCCCGATTCATGGCAACCCTGAACCCCGTATCCCTCACGCAGGTGTGAGCGGGATGGATGGAACCGAGGTCTGGAAGATTTTCAGGCTCTGTGTGAAGGCGTGGGGTAGAGGATGTCGCAGCCGCGCCCGGGCTAGAGCCGAGTTTCTCAGCCACGGTGCTGCTGGCACTGGGGCTGTCCCGGGGTGTGTGGCCACGTCCCCGGCCTTGCCCCCCGAGATGCCAGGAGCCCCTCCTCACCCCGAGCTGTGACACCCAGAAGTGTCTTCCGGCATTGCCACGTGTCCTCTGGGAGGCAAAATCGGCCCCTGTTGAGAACAACCGGGTCAGAGTAACACGTTAGGGCACAGAACACAGAGAACGAGGTTGATTGGATCATTCTGAGTCCACTTGACACTGTCTTGTAACCGGGAATTTTATCAGAACGCTTGGAGCCTGAGTCTGAGAAAACTTAGACCCAGAGTAGGACCGGTGGTGACCATGTGCTCCTTTGAGTTTGTCACCTACAGCCACAGAGTCACCCTACTGTGGCCTCAGCACAGGTGAAAAGCCGACCGCCCATGACCTTGGGTGCAGGAGCTTTTGCCACAGACAGTTGAAGGGGACACGAAGGAGCCGCAAGCCTCAGTGTAGCCCACGGTGACCCCGGCACCATCGGTGTGGACGCGCGTGCTGCCTCGAGACCCCTGCACCCCTGCCGCACGGCCCGCCCCCATCCCTGTGCCCGCTGTCTTCACGCAGGTGGCCAGGCTGGAGCGGAATTTCTTCCTGACGAAGCGGGAGCTGGAGCGGATCCAGAACGAGCTGGCGGCCATCCAGAGGGAGCTGGAGGCGCTGGGCGCCAAGTACGAGGCGGCCATCCTGGAGAAGCAGAAGCTGCAGGAGGAAGCCGAGATCATGGAGAGGCGGCTGATCGCCGCGGACAAGCTCATCTCGGGCCTCGGGTCTGAGAACACCAGGTCAGCGCGGCGGGGCCGGCGCCCGTGGCCTGTGCACGCGTGTCGCCGGCGGCCTTCCCTGCCGCGGCCGGTGCTTTGTTCCCGTTGTGTCCACGTGACAAGTTCTTATTTTCTTATCACCACGTTTACGGTGGTTGACAGACGTCGCGCGGACTCCCTTTTTATTGGGTGCCGAGTGCTGTTAGTCACGTGACCTCTCAGGGTCACGGAGGCGGATGCGTAGCGGTGGAGACAGGGAGAAGCCAGCAGCATTCGGCCATCGCCCCTGGGTTTGGGAAGGTTTCCTTCTCGGTGACCTTGAGCCCCTGGGTCCGCCCTGGAGGGGTCTGGAGGCGGAGCCCACGCGTGTTCTGCAGAGGTGCCGTCCAAGGGGCCCCGTGGAGTGTTTGGGCCTGGGCTTCAGGCTGAAGCACGTGGCCTGCTCGGCACCCCCGGGCAAGGCCGTTTGGCCGTAGCTTTTCCGCTGGCTGTGACGGTAGTTTCGAATCTGGCATCTGTAAGCATGGTACGAAAAACGCTGGATTCATCACATCCTTCTATTAAAAGAAAAGAAAAGAAAAGAAAAGAAAAGAAAAGACTGTAAAATATTGTTTGCTTGTGGGAAACAAACGATTTTCGATATTTCTAGAACCTGAAGGGCTCTGGACATTTACCAGACGAGGCCAAAGGAAACAAGCACTCCCTTTTACTTGGGAGAGAGTTCTGCCCCGTGGGGCCCGAGCTCGTTGGCTCGGCTGGGCCGTTCGCACGTCTCTGATTAGGCGTGCGGAAACAACGTGGGCACTGCTCAATAAATCGCTTTCAGACAAAGTGAGTCCCGCGGACGCTGCCGAGCCCTGGAGTTGAGCTGTCTTTCGAGACCCTGGGAGCGCAGGGGCGGGAAACGGCAAGATGAGCTGGGGCTCTTTGTATGAGGAAGAAGAGCTCAAAAATGTTCCTTCTTGGCCCTGTTAGCAAGGCGTCAAGCCGGTCCTTCTAGAATGTTCCTTTAGATTGTGGCCAGAAGGCAGCAGCTGCTCACCTTGGCCTCCCCCCTGCGCCCGCCAGGTGGACGAACGACCTGGAGGAGCTGAAGCACCGGCGCGTCAAGCTGCTGGGGGACTGCCTGCTCTGCGCCGCCTTCCTGAGCTACGAGGGCGCCTTCACCTGGGAGTTCCGCAACGAGATGGTCAACGAGATCTGGCAGAACGACATCCTGGAGCGGGAGATCCCCCTGAGCCAGCCCTTCCGCCTAGAGAGCCTGCTCACCGACGACGTGGAGATCAGCAGGTGCGCGGCGCCTCCCAGCCAGCCAGCGGGCTGGGGCTGTCGCCGGGGGCCTGGCGGGGGCTGCGGCTGGCGCAGAATGGCGGGCTGGGCGACCGGTCTGGCCCCAGCTCTCCTCCCCGGACCCTGAGGAGGGTCGAACAGCCTGGGCGGATTGGTAGATTGTTCTGGAAGGCCAATCCCACCACCGTCGGCCTTTGGTTCACAACTTGGGGAGACAAATGGACGTCCCTGTGGCTGTCCCTTCAGGTGGGGCTCCCAGGGGCTGCCCCCCGACGAGCTGTCGATTCAGAACGGCATCCTCACCACGCGGGCCAGCCGCTTCCCGCTCTGCATCGACCCCCAGCAGCAGGCGCTCAACTGGATCAAGAGGAAGGAAGAGAGGAACAACCTGCGGGTGGGTGCGCCGCCCCTCGCGTCCGCCCCCACCCGTCCCCAGGAAGGCCCCTCCCAGCCCCCGCACCTGGCAACCGCCAATCCACTGTTTCCCCATGGACTGGCCCATCTGCACGGTCGCACAGATGCACTCGCACGCTGTGTGGCCTTTCGTGCCTGGCTTCTTCCCACTGAGTGTCCTGCCGCCGAGGTTCACGCGTGTTGGAGCACACGTCAGTGTTCCGTTCCTTCCTGCGGCTGAACGGTAGTCCACTGTGTGGATTTGTCAGTTTGTCTCTCCACCTGTGTGTCGGTGGACACTTGGGTGGTTTCCACTTCCCGAATGTTGTGAAGGACGCTGCAGTGAACACCCGTGTACAGGTTTTTGTGTGGACGTGTTTCCAGTTCTCTTGGGTTTGTACCTGGGAGCAGAATTGCTGGGGCCCTGATCATTTTTTGCTGAACAACAAATTAATGACTTTCAGTTTTACCTTTTCCTTATATTTTTCTGGTCCTTGCTCCCGGGTATTCACATGCTATCGGGGGAAGCCCACTTGAGTCCCAAGGTCAGGGGAACATCTGCCTCTAACATTCACACATGGCGATAATGGGACAAATACTACGAATGCAGGAATTTTCCCTAGACCCCCTCTTCCCTCAGCCTGCCGGAGACCTCTGCAATTGCCAGCCAATCCTAGTCCCCGGTCCGATTCCAGCCCTCGCCCTGTTTCTTAAGGAGGAAGCATTCTAGCTTGTTGAGAGGGGGAGAAGTAAACCCCCTTTCCCTTCCTATCTTCTTTGAATGAGATGCTGCTCTGAGCCTGAACCGCATGGATTTCTGGGCTTATATGGGTTACACACCTTGCTGTTCTCTCTCCTCCTTTTTCTTAACACCCCTGGCTGCCCTCAAGTTACGACTTATTCACTCCCACTTCCAAGGCCTTCTCCCCTGCATTTGACGCTCAGCGCCTGCATCTCCTCCCCTCCAGGTTGCTTCCTTCAATGACCCCGACTTCCTCAAGCAGCTGGAGATGTCCATAAAGTACGGGACTCCTTTCCTGTTCCACGACGTCGACGAATACATCGATCCTGTGATTGATAACGTCTTGGAGAAGAACATAAAGTTCTCCCAGGGACGGCAGTTTATCATCCTGGGAGACAAGGAAGTCGACTACGACTCGAATTTCAGGCTGTACCTGAACACCAAGCTGGCCAATCCCAGATACGGCCCGTCCGTGTTTGGGAAAGCCATGGTGATCAACTACACCGGTGAGAATGCACGAACCCCCGGGGCAAACGCAGGTGCTTGTCGTGGGGACCACAGCCCCAGGCCCAGGCTTTCCTGGCACGCCAGTTGTGTCGGTCCCACGGTCACATCTCGCCGCACAGCTCTTCGTGACGATGAGCAACCCCTAGCAGGGTTGAGGCCTTTGGGAGGCCCGGGCGACGCGTCCCGAGGCATGCGGGACCAGACCCTGCTGGGGCAGGGAGTTGTTCCGTGTTTGTGCGTGTCAGCGTACGTGACGCGTCTGGGGCAGGAGGCAGACAGCACGTCTCGCGTGTCCTAGGGCTGTCGCGCAGCTGCTTAGATGGGCGAGTAGATCTGGGCGCACTTCAGAGCCCCCAGCAGGCGGGGGCCCTGGACTTTATTTTAGCGCGTCTGCCTTTGGTCCACACGCTGCAGAGCAGCGTCACCACTTTGCAGTCTGACCTTTGTCACCTTGCTGCTTTAGAGCGGCGGTCTTGGTAGGACGTGTGTCCCCGTGCCCCCGACGCATGGGCTTAGACCGTGCTCGGCCTGTCCCGCCCGGCGGTGCAGGCCAGACTCAGTGACCGGCCTGTCGGGGCCACAGGCGGCGAGCGCCCCCGTTGCCCCCACAGTGACGCTCAAGGGCCTGGAGGACCAGCTGCTGAGCGTGCTGGTGGCCTACGAGAGGCGGGAGCTGGAGGAGCAGCGGGAGCACCTCATCCAGGAGACCAGCGACAACAAGAACCTGCTCAAGGACCTGGAGGACTCGCTCCTGCGGGAGCTGGCGACCTCCACGGGGAACATGCTGGACAACGTGGAGCTGGTGCAGACCCTGGAGGAGACCAAGTCCAAGGCCACAGAGGTGGAAACCGCGGCGGAAGATGCAGGCGGCGCGGGGCGGGACGGGGTGGGGGACATGCACCCGTCCTCGGAGTGCCTGTGTCCTGGTCTGCTCCGTGAGAAAATCAGGCTCTGAGCTCTCGGGCTCGTTCATGGTCACGGCCTTCGTAGCTGAGGGTTGGGGGGCCGCCCGCCTGTCTCTCGTCGGACTCAGGCCTTGTTTTGCCTGAGGATTTGCCTGATGGTAAAAGGACGCCCCTACTGAGGTGTGCTGTGGGGAGGGGAGTCCTAAAGGTGTTCCCAGGGACCTCTGCGCCCCACGTCAGCCTCTTTCAACTGAGAATGATAGAAAACGCAGCCTTACCTGGCTTATGTAAAAGGAAGTCATCAGCTTAGAAAGCAGAAAAGTTCAGGGCTGGCTTCAGGCACAGCTGGATCCAAGACTTGAAAAAGTACCATCCGGTCTTGGTGTCTCTCCATGTCTGGGCAGGGTCTGCTGGGTTGGCTTCATTCTCTGCCAGCTGTTCACATGACCAGGTCTGGCCTTGTGTCCTCTCAGGTTCAAGTCCAAGGGGACAGGGGAGAATCTTTTCCTGTTCCTATCCTCAAGAGAGTCCGGAGAGTCACTTAAGTCACAAGCCCACCCTGAACCAGTCCCGCAGCCTGGGGAAGCCAGGCCTTGACTGGCTGGGTCACTCGCTCCTCCTCTGGCGTTGGGGGGGAGCCCCACATGTGGGACGAAGAGGGGAGGGGAGTGCTTGGGAATGCAAAGGCAGGGACTGTCACTAGAGGGAGCGGGCACCCATCGCAGACACCCACCACGTCTGACGAGGGGCCGGTACCCTCGGTCCCTGCAGTGCCTGGAGGCTCTGACAGCCCCGGGGCATCGCAGGCACGTCTTTGCTGTCCCCGGCCACTCGGCCTTCCTGTTCCCAGGGTAACTCGCGCCTCCTCTCCAGGTGTCGGAGAAGCTCAAGCTGGCGGAGAAGACGGCCTTGGACATCGACCGGCTGCGGGACGGCTACCGGCCGGCCGCCAGGAGGGGGGCCATCCTGTTCTTCGTCCTGTCGGAGATGGCCCTGGTGAACTCCATGTACCAGTACTCCCTCACCGCCTTCCTGGAGGTCTTCGGCTTGTCCCTGAAGAAGTCGCTGCCTGACTCCATTCTCTTGAAGCGGCTGAAGAACATCATGGACACGCTGACCTTCAACATCTACAACTACGGCTGCACCGGTGAGCACCCGCCCCCGCCCCCACCCCCGGCTCCGCCCCCGCTCCCCGCCCCGCCTGCGGCCGCGGCCCCTTCCTCCCGCAGCTGGTGCCGTGGGGGAGAAGAGCCGGGCGGGGCGGTCTCTTCCCGGACTTTTGTCCGAGTTGAATCCCCTCCCCGTGGGCCGGGCCCCCGCCCCCACCCCCGCCCCCGCCCCGCCCCCGCCGGCAGGATGGGCATGGAGTCGGCGTGTGTGACACAGGGCTTTAAGGAAACTCGACCTGTGATCACGGACACTCGCCACGTGGCAGTCTTTAGTGCGACTATTCGCTCGACAAAGAGGGATGCTTAACCCTTTGCACTTGCTTGCTTTCTTCCCGATCCCTTTATTCTACTCGGGATTTAATTTTTTGAATACCCCAGATTTTACAAAGCGCAGCAGTAGAATAAAAAACTGGAGTTTCTTTTCATGCAAACTTATTTATTTGGATTTTTAAGATATTTCACATTATTGATACAAAGAGTAATTTTAATCTCTATAATTTTTGCTAACTGTGTCGAGTCACACTCGACATCTGAGAGCAAAGGGTTAAAGCATTGATTTTTAAAATAGCTTTATTGAGACATAATTCACATACCACAAATTCACTCTTAAAAATGCACAATTCTATGATTTGTGGTGTATTCAGAGTTGTGCAGCCACTACCCCTAAGTAGTTCTAGAACATTTCCATCGGCCCAGAAATGAAACCCCACACCTGTTAGCAGCCGCTCCCCACGCCCCCAGGCCTCGTCTCCGGCAACTGCCAGTCTGCGGTCTGTCTCTGTGACCTGCTCCGGACGTTTCATGTCGGTGGAATCGCACGGCTTGTGACTTTTCAGGCTGGTGTCCTTCACACAGCTAGTGTGCTCCCGGTTCGTCCGTGCTTGTAGCATGTTATTAGTATGTCATTCCTTTTTATAGCTGAATGATACTCAGTTGTGGGACAGACCACGTTTCGTTTACCCATTCAACAGGTGAAGGGCAGTAGGGTTGTTTCTGCTGTCTGGCTATTCTGATAACGCTGCTATGAACATTCATGCTCGCGTTTCTGTGTGAACATACGTTTTAAATTCTCCTGGGTCTGTATCTAGGAATGGAATTGCTAGATCATAGGGTAACTTTGTTTAACTTCTCAAAGAACGCCACACTGTTTTGCAGATGGCTATGGTATTTTTCAACCCCTAAAGCACTGATTCTAAAAATCTTTTTATTGTGGACAATTTCATACGTATGCAAACGGGAACAGCATAATGATCCTTCGTGGACTCGTCACCCAGCAGTGATCAACTCTGGGTTCGTTTATATGCCACAGCACAGTTCCCTGGCAGCACAGGTCACTTTGAAAATTGGCTGCATATTCATCATTTATAAATATTTCAGTTTGTATCTCTAAAATAGGGGTCAGCAAACTTTTTTTGTAAAAGGCCAAATAGAATATATTTTGGGCTTTGAAGGCTTTGTGGTTTCTGTCACAACTACTCAGTTCTGCCACTATAGGACAAAAGCAGCCAGATACGGAAACGAATGAACATGGTTGTGTTCCAATAAAACTTTATTTACAAATGACAGGCAGTAGGCTGGATTTGGCCCCTGGGCTGTGGTTTGCACATCCCTACTCTAAAATATAAGGATTCCTCTTCAAAAATAGACATAATTTCCACTATCATGCCTAAAAATTAATAAATCTATAATATCATTTATCTAGTTTTCAAATGTTCCCAATTGTCTTATAGGTTATTTTTCACATTTGCTTAAATGAGGACCCTGATAAGGTCTATAGACTGTATATATTACAATTGGTCATATGTCACTTGATGTTTTTTTCTCCTGTTGTATTTATTTGTGGAAGGAATCTGCTTGATTGTCTTGCGTTGTTTCCCATAGCCTGATTGCTGGCCTATTGCATCATTGTGGTGTGTTTAAAATGTTCCTCCGTCCCCTATATTTCTTGTAAATTTGTAACAGAGTTACAGTTGGGCAGATCCAGGTTCTGTTTGGGGTAAGAATACTTCATGTGTGGTGTTGTATATTTCTGTTAGGAATCATGTAATTTCTAATTGTCTTTTTCTTTTTTCTGATGTTAGCAGCCAATGAAAAGAATTTTCTAAATCTGTTTGTTTGTTAAGGGTTGCAAATGGTGATATTCTAATTCTTGCAATCATTCTGCATTTATTTTTATCTGAAATGCTTTCTATAAAGAGAAACTTTGATCAATTATATATGGGAAAGGCAGATCAAATGCATGACTCTTCCTTTATTTTTAATTTCTTTAATATTCTTATGAACTCATGTGTTTAAGCATATTTAATATGTTTCAATACATTTCAGTAATTGTCCTTATTGATGTTCAAATCATCCTACCTTTGGCCCTTTGGAGCCTTTCCAGGTTGGTTTACAAGTCCTTTTGCTCCACTCTGTAGTCTTGGGCAGTTTCCCTGCTTTCTGGTAGGAAAAGATACACGAGGCACATCGTGACCATAATCTGCCCCTCACCTGGAATCGGCCATTTATCCAATAGTCCTGGTTCTTTTCTTAGCAAGAAATGGTGTTTAGAGACCAAGATATCAGGTCTATGGGTGCTCAATGCTTTTTCAGTGGATTGAGCTAAGAAATTTTAAAAATGTAACCATAAGTTCATAGCGCACCAGTATCTATCTCCTTTTCTTATGCAAAACCCTGTTTTTTTCTTATTAATACATCAATTTACCCATTTGTTTATTTCACAGCACACACATATACACGCACGCATACACACACAAATAGTCTCAAAATAACAATTACATCACAACTACCACCACTATGATTGCTGAAAACAGTTCAGAATGCATTTTTGTCTCTGAAGGAATACAGTGCTAGTGGAAAGTACAGATGACTGCTTCAGTGTCACTCAGAGTAGTTCCTCTCTGTACACCACCAACTCGATGCCCAGTTATGTTCATGTTTTCATTTTGCCTATGGATTGTTAGGGATTTTTTAAAATTAAAAATTTAGACGTTTTACATGATTCCAAAATCAAGGTACCTTTAGGAAATTCTAAAAAAGAAGTACCTGTTTCAGGATGGACCAAGTGCTCTCCACCCAGGCATCTACCCATGATGATCTTGGGCATTCACCGTATCTTTCTCTTTTTCTTTTTTATTTTTTGAGACAGAGTCTTGCTTTGTTGCCCAGGCTAGAGTGAGTGCCGTGGCGTCAGCCTAGCTCACAGCAACCTCAAACTCCTGGGCTCAAGCAATCCTCCTGCCTCAGCCTCCCGAGTAGCTGGGACTACAGGCATGCGCCACCATGCCTGGCTAGTTTTTTCTCTATATATTACTTGGCCAATTAATTTCTCTTGTGTTGATTCTCCTGTTTTCTGTATCTTGTGTCTTCCTAATTTGTGTTTTGCTCCTTATTTTGGTGCAGTACCTCCTCTAGTAGCTTCCTGAAAAAAAAGGTACATAGTTCGAAAATTTTTGGAAACAATGCACATCTTAAAATATCTTTATTCTACTCTCATATTTGATTAATAGTTTGCCTGGGTATAGAGTTTTTCATTCACATTTTTCCTTTGGCTGTCATTATTGCTCTTGAGAAGTCTGATGTTATTCTAATACTGATCCTTTTTGTAAAGAAGTATCTTACCTTGTTTTTCAAAGATACCCAAAAATTTCACAATGATTTGGACTGGCTTGGACATACTTTCATTCATTGTGATCTGCACTCGGTGGCCCATTTCAACCTGTAAGCCACTTCCTTCAGTCTGCAAACGTTTTCTTGAATTATTTGATAGTTTCCTTCTCTCTAATTTCTCTATTTTCTCTTTCTGGAACTCCTATTATTTAGATGTTGGACCTCCCTGACTGATTTTCTAATTTTCTTTTCTCTCGCATTTCCCATGTCTTTGTTTTGCTGCTGTTCTCTGGGAAATTTTTTATAAGTTTATCTCCTAATGCTTCTGTTGGGTACTTTATTTCTATCATACTTTTAATTTTCAGGAACCCCTTTTGTTTTACCAATACTCTTTTTTTTTTTTTCCAAAAAAAAATCATTCTGTTCCTGTTTCATAGAGAAACTTAGTTCTCAGAAGATTTCTGTGATGGCTTTCTAAATTTTTCTTGCATGAAATAGGCTCTGCTTCCTGTGAGTGTCTCCCTGCCCTTTGTTTGTTTTGGCATCTGCAGTTCAGTTAGAAGCTTTCATCAAATGTCTGGCGATCCCTGGATATCTATTCAAAGTTAAGAGTGGAACTAGAAAGTTCACTGGGGAGCTCCGTGCTTGGACAGGATTGGCCAGTTTGGGCTTCGCTGGGTGATCCGGCTGGGCCGTGTCAAGGAAGGGACGCTCAGATGCCAACATATGTAGTTCTGTTCTCGTGAGACTGCGATAGTCCCTAAGGAAAAATTTCCATCCTCTTCCTAAAATATGAAATCCTGGCTGTCGGCAGTCTGGGCACGGTGTGAGAAAAGGAGGCGGCCGGCGACTGCAACCACCGCTGCGGAGGCTTTCAGTTAAAGGCGTGTTTGCATTATGGTTTCCCTTCACCGGGCCTGGTCCTGCCCGTCCACAGAGACCGTGTTCCGTGTTTTCCGAAGTTCACGGGGAGGCGGGAGGGCCGCGGCGCGGCAGCACGAGAGTGAGAGGGGGGCTGGGCGTGTCTTCCGTGAACTCCCCGTGCTCACCCCCCACTTCCAGAGGCGCCGGAGCTGCCCGTCCCTGAGCCCGTCACGGATTCTGTGGTTCGCTTCTCAGCCGCAGCCCCGCCCTGACGCACGATTCAACTTTTTCAGTTCTGCCAAATCAGTTATCACTTGTCCATCTGTCTTTAGTTGGCAAAATTTTGTTGCTATTGCTTTTCTCCAATTTTCTCAGAGTTTATACTAAGTGTTTTTTTTTTTTTTAAGTCTCATGTTATTTTAGTAGATTTTTGGAAAGGAGTTGGGATATAAACCCAGAGCGGCCGTTTTTAACCGGAAGCCTGCTGCGCAGTGAGTCCCCGAGGGGCTCTGACCAGACACTGTACTGAGAGTGGCATTTCACACGCCACCCGGGGCTGGTGTCCCAGCTTGCTAGGACTGCCATTGGAAAATGCCACAGGCCAGGTGGCTTACACAACGGGAATTTATTCTCTCATAGTTCTGGAGGCCGGAAGGCCACGATCAAGGTTTTGGTGATTTGGCTTCTCCTGAGGACTCTCCTTGGCTTGCAGATGACGATTTTCTCACTGTGTCCTCACGTGGCCTTTCTTCTATTCTATTCTTCTAACGAACCTGGTGGTTTCTTCCCTGATCTCACAAAGACACTAACCATACTGGATTAGAGTCAACGCTAATGGTGCATTCTAACGTAATCACGTCTTTAAAGACCCTGTGTGCAAATACAGTATATTCTGAGGCACTGGGGCTTAGGGCTTCAACATAGGAAGTTTGGGGGGGGGGTGGATATAATCCAGCCCATAACAGTTGGACGGAAAAGAGGTTGTTCCTATAGGGCTCATTTAAGTAGCCAACCCTCCTAACACATCTAGTAGAGTTCAAATTGCAAATTTTGACTTATACGTTGTTTCCCCAGAAACACATTTCTTCTGGTAAAAAAAAAAAAACAAAAAAGAAGAAATCTAGTATTTTGCATCCATCAATAAAGAGTCTGTCAATGGAGTGTGCTTCCTCTACAATAGAGGTTGCAAAGCCCCAGCCAGCAGTCCAGATCTGGCCCACAACCTCCTTTTGTCAATAAAGTTTTATTGGAACACTGCCATACTCTTTTGTATACATATTGTCTCTGGCTATTTTCTCACTACGATGGCAGAGTTGGGTAGCTATGATAGAGACCACCTAGATTGCAAAGCCTAAAATATTTACTGTCTGGCCCTTTACAGAGAGTTTGCTGGCATCTCTTCTAGACTATAATGGACTGAGTCAGGCAAACCACCAGCGCTCGGGGGAGAAGCTGGCTCTGTGCCCTTGTTCTGTCCTCACTTGATTTTCCACCCTACTGTCCTCTTCCCAGGAGGGTGTGATGAGAACCTCCCGTAGACATGGCCATTTCAGTTGCATGCAAATGAATGTCCCTATAGACTGCACTCGGGCATGACCTCTAAGTTGAACCCATCTTTTTTTTTAATACGTGTGCACCCTCATGCCCAGCCAAGCCCATCTTTTTTGCATTTAGACAGTCATGGACATTAGGTGCAAAGAGGGCTAAATGCATGCACTTTGGGTGTTTCATTTCATTCCTCTTAAATTTAAGCATATTGTACGTAAGCAACTCAGTTTTGAAAATGATTTTTTTAAATCAATACCCATCTGGTGTTTCCCTACAGGGTTGTTTGAGAAGCACAAGCTACTCTTTTCTTTTAATATGACTATCAAGATAGAACAAGCAGAAGGGAGAGTCCCCCAGGAAGAATTAGATTTCTTTTTAAAAGGTAATGGATTTGCCCGATTTTATTCTTCCCAATTTCCTTGACTTATGTGGTATGTGTATGTAAGTTTGTTCATTAAAACAACCAACAACAAAAATTCTCCGTAAAACTTGGCTTGCGACAGCACTGCCTTATTAAGTGTTCCAGTTGATGATTCCAGCCTGGGCAGGGGGCTGGCTGGACTGGGAGCACCCAGCCTTGGCCTCGGCGCTACCCTGAGGCTGGGTGCCACAGCGGAGGCTGAGCGCCAGCTTGGGGTCACTGGCGGTGACAAGGGCCAGCTGGGGCCGCCTTCTCTTGCCGGTCTCCTCCTTGGGAAGTGGCTTTTCCCAAGAGTGAGGGAGTCAAAGTGTACTAAGCTGCCCGCTTTGCATGGGCAGCACGATGGCCACTGCTTCCCTCTCCCGCTAGGAAACATCTCACTGGAGAAAAGCAAATGGAAAAAGCCCTGTGGGTGGCTGTCCGACCAGGGCTGGGAAGATATCATCCTCTTGTCAGAAATGTTTTCAGAAGACTTCGGGCGACTTCCTAGTGATGTTGAGGATAATCACACGGTCTGGCAGGAGGTGAGCTCGTGTCCTTCTCCTCCTCCTCTCCTGCCCGACCCGCCAGCGATCTCCAGACTTAGCCTGTGGCCTCGCCCCCCCCCCCTACTCGAGAACAGACTCCTCTGAGTGACACATTCAGGGTGTAATCCATGCCCTCCGACGCCCCCTCCTCTGCTAACGCAGCTAGCTGTGCGGGAGAGCCTTCCATCGGTCTGTCCACCCATCCATCTGTCCGTCCATCCATCCATCTCTCTGTCCATTCACCCATCTGTCTGTCCATCCACCCGCACACCCATCCATCTGTCCATATGTTCATCCATCTGTCCATCCGTCCACCCACCCATCCATCCATCTGTCTGACTGTCCATTCATCCATCCCTCTTTCCTTTCGTCCATCTGCCCGCCCATCCATCCATCCGTCCATCTGTCTGTCCAGGAAATACTTGTTGAGCACGCACCCTGCATCATGTCCCCTGAGGGGCCGTGGAGACTGAGATTCAGCTTCTGTCTCAAGGTTACGGCTCCCAGGGTGGAGCGTGACAGAGCCGACTACATGAGTCCACACGCCTGCAGAGTCCCTTCCCTTCCCAGTGGGTTCTGGCGACTTCGCGTGACAGTGAGGGGTCTGTGTCATCTCTGAGCTGAGCCCACAGTGAATATGCTTTGCTTTTCCCAGTGGTATGACGTGGACTCACTCGAGCAGCTTCCGTTCCCCTTGGGTTATGACAAACACATCACCGCCTTCCAGAAGTTGCTTATTTTGCGCTGTTTCCGTGTGGATCGCGTGTACCGGGCAGTGACCGACTACGTGACCGTGACAATGGGAGAGAAGTAAGTGTGCTGTTTTATCTGCCCCTTCCTGTGGGGCAGACGGTCTAACATCCCTCCCACCTGGGCACCCAGAGAGCCGCAGCTGGCAGCTCCCGAGAGGACGGCTGCAGCCCTGCCCTCGAGCCGTATTTGGCAGCTGGCCCAGCACAGCGCCATTCAGCAGAAATCGATGTGAGCCACGTCTGTAATTTCAAATGTTCTAGTAGCCACGTTAGAAAAAAAAACAGTTAAAGCTAGTTTTAATAACATATTCTATTTAACTTGAATATATTAAAATATCATTTTAATGTATAATCGATATAAACACGATTGAGATATTTTACATGCCTTTTTCTTTGGTATTAAGTCTTCAAAATCCTGTGTGCATTCACACTGACAGCACGTCTCGATTGGAACTGGCCACATTTTACATGCCAAGCAGCCACACGTACCGCGTGGCCACCATTCTAGGCAGCGTCGCTCTAGCTCGGGGCACGAAGCCAGACAGACAGCCGGGGGGGAAAGAGGGGTGCGGCAACTCAGATACGCCTTCACAGCCAGTGGGCCGTGCGAGTGACTGCGTGAAGCTGGGTGTGTCTTGGGCCAGAGGGCAGCTGCCCTTAGTACCCGGCGACTGATACCAGGTGACTGATACCCAGAGTGGCTAAATCCTCTGACTCCTCCAAGGAAGCTAGAAATTCAGATTCTTACATGAAACCTCCCAGTCTTTATATGTTGGTAACTAATTTTTTTTTTTTTTTTTGAGGCAGAGTCTCACTTTGTTGCCCAGGCTAGAGTGAGTGCCGTGGCGGTCAGCCTAGCTCACAGCTACCTCAAACTCCTGGGCTCAAGCAATCCTCCTGCCTCAGTCTCCCGAGCAGCTGGGACTACAGGCATGTGCGCCATGCCCAGCTAATTTTTTTCTATATATTTTTAGTTGGCCAATTAATTTCTTTCTATTTTTAGTAGAGATGGGATCTTGCTCTTGCTCAGGCTGGTCTCCAACTCCTGACCTCTAGGGATCCTCCCGCCTCAGCCTCCCAGAGTGCTAGGATTACAGGTGTGAGGCACCGCGCCTGGCCAGCAACTAATATTTTAAAAAGCCCGCAAAGCTGAACGTGCAGACCATTCAGGACAGGCCTGTGGCACCGCTGCCGTGGAACCTCCGGGTTTCATGCGGAGAGCACGCCCACCCGCAGGGCCCGCCGAGGCACCCGGCTCAGCACGCGTGTGCGGAGTGTGCCGGGGGAGGCCGAGGAGGCCCTTCCCTCCTGCAGCTTACATCCAGGCTGGGGGGCGTGCACGGGAGGTGGATTCTAGAGCAAGGAGGGCTGGGCGGAGCCGCGGCAGGTGGGAGTGAGAGGACCTGGGTCCTGAGCGGAGGCAGCGCTGGCCGGCGGGCCGGCCCCGGCCGGGAGCTGTCCTCCTGGGAGGGCTGATTCCGCGTCTCCGCCAGGTACGTGCAGCCGCCGATGATCAGCTTCGAGGCCATCTTCGAGCAGAGCACGCCAAACTCGCCCATCGTGTTCATCCTCAGTCCCGGCTCGGACCCCGCCAGCGACCTCATGAAACTGGCCGAGCGCAGCGGCTTTGGAGGAAACCGCCTCAAGTTCCTTGCGATGGGTCAAGGTCAGGAAAAGGTAATTTGCTGTTGGGAGGAGCGAGCTGTGCCCTTCGGTGAGGTCCCTGGCCTGTTTAGAAAGGAGCTAACCTGATCTTAAGATGAGAGTCCCGCTCCGCGCACGAGCTGGATGCCTTCATGGTCTGCGGAGCAGTGAGCGAATGCTGGAAAGGTGACGGTGTTAGCAACGATAGCGGCGATCTCACAACCTCCTGTGCTCTTGCGCCCCGCTGTTTTCAAAGTCCTTTTGCACCAGTCGTTACTACGCTCGGTCCCTGCAGTGTCCCCGCTGTGGGTCAGGGTCACGCTGCCCCAGCTGCGTGGCGGAGGAAGTGGGCCGTGTGGGACAGAGCCGTAGCGCGAGCCAAGTCCCCCTGGGCCAGGCAGCTCTCTGTGCTCCGGCGCCTCTCTGTGCCGCGCCGCACCCTGCCAGAGCCTGCTACCCAGGCGTGGCAGGCAGGCACGGGGCTGGAGGGAAGAGCCCGTAAGTGCGGTGGCCACATGCGGGGGCGCTGGGTCAGCAGCGCCGCCTGGCAGCCCCGGCTTGGCTGGGCACCGTCCGAGGCTCCGGGCGAGCCCCTGCTGCCGCAAGCCCACCTGTGACAGGGGAAGGTCACACCCGGGGGGCCAGCCAAGGGCACCAGCCAGGCACAGCCAGCTCTCTCGAACCACAAAACTGAGATTAGCTATCGTAATGTCAGCGCTTGTTTACGTTTTAAGCCATTTCAAAGGCCAGGGTTTGCTTGTCTGGACTTTGAGTTACATTTGGGAAGGGACACTGCGATTGTTCTCTGTGCTCAGGGCCCGTAAGTTCCTAAGGTGGCGGGATCGGTCCCACTTGCCGCTGGGTTTGAGCTGGTCTCCCACAGCCCTGCTCTGGGGGTGCCCGGGGTGCGGCGTGACCGTGAGGAGGGCTGGAGCTCTCGGGGCTGTGGAGGCCGATGGGTGCGGGCCGCTCGTCCGTCCTCCGGGCCGCACGCAGCCCAGCGCACACAGGCGGCCTCGGGGCTCCCCCTGGAGCTCCTGGGTCACCGGCTTGCTTTTGGCTTCTGCTGGAGTGGGCTGTCACTTCTCTGTGACACTCTGCGTGGGGAGTGGGTCTCTGGAGAGCCAGGGTTGCTGTGGCTTTGGGACTGCAACGCCTCCCCCCACCGCTCTCCCCGCGCAGGTGGCCCTGCAGCTGCTGGAGACGGCGGTGGCTCGCGGGCAGTGGCTGATGCTGCAGAACTGCCACCTCCTGGTCAAGTGGCTGAAGGACCTGGAGAAGTCCCTGGAGCGGATCACCAAGCCCCACCCTGACTTCCGCCTGTGGCTCACCACGGACCCCACGCGGGGCTTCCCCATCGGGATTCTGCAGAAGTCCTTAAAGGTCTGGCTCCAGGACAGACGCCAGGGCACCTGCAGCTCTGCTCCTCAGATCACTGCCCTGTCGCCGTGGGCGGGGGTGGGGCGTAAATAAAGCTCAGGGTGCACCAGGAACCTGTGGATGCCCCCCTAATCCCGCCCCCCCCCAGAGGAGCCGCTGTCTTGAGCCGGGGCTGGGACCCCAGGCCTGCCCTCGCCGCTGGGGCACATGTCCCTCACGGTCCTAGGTCAGTTTCGTGCACTTCATGTTGCCTGAACCCCCTTCATCGCCCACAATCGGCCCACCCCGGCCTGTGGTGGCTGTGTGCAGAAGTTTCCAGTGGTGTCCGTGCCTCATTTAGTCTCCAGGGAGTCCCTTTTGGAGAGGTTTCGTCATCGCCCTCTGGCAGGTGGAGGGGGACGTAACTATTACACTGTCCTTTTATACTTGAGGACCCCACAGTTCACAGAAGGATCAGAGAATCTTCACAGAGTCACAGCAAGCAGGGACAGAGCTAGAACAGCATCTAGACCTTTCACGTCTTGGTCTGGGCCTGCCAAGACTCGGGCTGTTGGGGACTAGGACAGGCGGCTCCGTGAAGAGGAAGGAAAGCCGGGAGCCCGAGTTTTGCACCTGCTCGCGGCTGTAGCCGCGTCTCCACCGCCGTCCGTTTTCTTCTCCTCTGAAGGTTGTCACGGAGCCGCCCAACGGGCTGAAGCTGAACATGAGGGCCACGTACTTCAAGATCTCGCACGAGATGCTGGAGCAGTGCCCGCACCCGGCCTTCAAGCCGCTGGTCTACGTGCTGGCGTTCTTCCACGCCGTGGTGCTGGAGCGCAGGAAGTTCGGCAAGATCGGCTGGAACGTGTACTACGACTTCAACGAGTCCGACTTCCAGGTGGGCACCGGCGGCTGCACCACCCTGCCCGCCAGGCCGCCCCTGGCGCGGGGGTGTCGCCTCCTTGGCAGCGCAGAGCCGGATGGGAGCGGCTGCAGGGTGTGTGTCACCGAGCCTGCTCCGCCCTTCCCAGGTCTGCATGGAGATTCTGAACACGTACCTCACGAAAGCCTTCCAGCAGCACGACCCCAGGATCCCGTGGGGCAGCCTCAAGTACCTCATTGGCGAGGTAGGGGCGCCGGGGCGGCCGCGCGGGGCGGGGGCTGCTGCCTCGCCGTCCTCTTGCTCCCTTCCGCCGAAGGCCCCTCAGGTCTCCGGGAATTCACGCCGGGTCCTGGTGGTTCTCTGTCCTGCATGAGCGCCATTCACACGGCGTCCCAGGCCAGGCACCGCGAGGACCTGCCCAGCCAGGCTCAGGTCCATCGTCGGGCACAGTGGCCACCACTACACGGAGCTCCCGGGAAAGCCCCGCTGGCCTGCACGCGGTCCGATGCTGACGTCAGTTCCGGAGACAAGAGTGGCTTCTGGCTTCTTGGGCTTTGGCTTTTCGGTGGTTTAGTGTGTTTGGGTGATTTCCCCAGGGCCTCGTGAAGGCCACTCACTACCTCGGGCTCCGTTCCTGGGGAAGCCGCAAAGCCACCATGCGATCAGTGAACAAGTGCCCTCGCACACGCCGCCTCGAAAGTTTATTCGCGGCGACAAGTTTGAGCTGCACGGCAGCTGGGCTGCCGGAATCTCACCAAGGGCAAGTTTGGTCTTGCTCCTTGAGCAAGGGGCCCGGGGTGCACACGCCAGGCCCGCCCCGGCTGGCTCCGACCCCTCGGATTTCAGGTCATGTACGGAGGACGGGCCATCGACAGCTTTGACCGCCGCATCCTGACCATCTACATGGACGAGTACCTGGGAGACTTCATCTTCGATACTTTCCAGCCCTTCCATTTCTTCTGGAACAAGGAAGTGGACTACAAAATCCCTCCTGGTGATGTGAAGGATAAGTTTGTGGGTGAGATTTCTCAGATATGAAAAAGTATTTTGTAGCACTCTGGGAGGCCGAGATGGGTGGATTGCTCAAGGTCAGGAGTTTGAAACCAGCCTGACCTAGAGTGAGACCCCATCTCTACTATAAATAGAAAGAAATTAATTGGCCAACTAATATATATAGAAAAAATAAGCTGGGCATGGTGGCAGATGCCTGTAGTCCCAGCTACTCGGGAGGCTGAGGCAGGAGGATTGCTTGAGCCCAGGAGTTTGAGGTTGCTGTGAGCTAGGCTGACGCCATGGCACTCACTCTAGCCTGGGCAACAAAGTGAGACTCTGTCTCAAAAAAAAAAAAAAAGTATTTTGAAGGCGATTTCTAAGGGAGACGACACATTTAAACTGTTCAGTTTCTGCAGTTGTCTCGGCAGCTCTTGTGACCCTTCTGCTGCTGGGGGCCATGGCTTGGCCAGGCGTGGTCTGTGAACCTGCCAGGCAGCCCGCCAGGCTCCTCCTGGCCTTAGCGCTGACAGAGGTAGTTCAGAGTTAGTCCTGGACCACGGTAGCATATCCGCTTCCATCTGGAAGGGCAGCGTGGCCGCCAGGAAGCTCACGGAACCGTTTTCATAAACAATAACATGCAGCTGGACTGGGCGTGGTGGTGCAGAGTTTTTAATTAAACGTGTGTTACCCACTAAGCTGCGGAGATTAGTCTTGCACGTGTGGGGACTTTTGAGGCCGTGGGCCCTCCGAAATCACAGGTGGCTTGACGCTGTCACCTCTGTTCCCCGCGGTCACAGAAGCCATCGAGGCCCTCCCGCTTGCCAACACGCCCGAAGTGTTTGGCCTTCACTCCAACGCCGAGATCGGCTACTACACGCAGGCGGCGCGAGACATGTGGGCGCACCTGCTGGAGCTGCAGCCTCAGACGGGTGAGTCTCCGCAGGGCTGCGTACTCCGATCAGGGCTCCCGGCGCCCGCACGGGTGCCCCTGGTTGGTTCCCGGAGCCGTCCCGTGTCGCTGTGCCCTTCCCAGAGCCGGGAGGCTCCGGAGGCCCTGCGCCGCACGCAGACGACTTGCTCTCTCTAAAAAGCGTCCTGTTTCAGGGGAATCCAGCAGCGGCGTCAGCCGCGATGATTACATTGGCCAAGTGGCCAAGGACATAGAGAACAAGATGCCCAAGCTCTTCGACTTGGACCTGGTCAGGAAGCACCTGGGCGCCGTGATCTCGCCCACGTCCGTGGTGCTGCTGCAGGAGCTGGAGCGCTTCAACAAGCTCCTGAGGCGCATGACCAAGTCTCTGGCCGAGCTGCAGAGGGTGAGCGTGATTCTGGCGTGCGGACGCCTGCCTCCGTGCGGTGCCCGGTGTCTGACGCAGCCTCGCCCGCTTGCCCTTGTCCCCCGTAGGCCTTGGCTGGAGAAGTTGGAATGAGCAGTGAGTTGGATGATGTGGCCAGGGCTCTCTTTATTGGGAGTATCCCTAACATCTGGAGAAAGCTGGCCCCCGACACCTTGAAGACCCTTGGAAACTGGATGGTCTACTTCCTGCGGCGGTTCAGCCAGTACACGCTGTGGGTGAGGGATCCTGCACTCCCTGCCTGCCAGCTCGAGGGTCAGCGTGGACTCCCCCAACCCCCCACACCCCGCCCCGTCCCCAGGGGAACCTCCGCTACAGCTTATTGGATGCTCTAGAAACGTTCTCAGATTCTATAAGCAGATCTGTATCTTCTGTTTTTCCTTTTCTGTTTTTAAGACTTTTTTTTTTCTTTTTGTCCCGGCTAGAGTGTAGTGGCATCATCATAGCTTGCTGCAACCTCAAACTCCTGAGCTCAAGCGATCTTCCCGCCTCGGCCTCCCAGAGTGCTAGGATTATAGGCGTGAGCCACCGCGCCCGGCCTGTTTTTAAAACTTCAAAGCATACTATACACACTTGATTATGTTATCTGAGCGTATCTCTTGGCAATTGTTCCATATTAGTACATATAGATCTAACTCATTCTTTTTAGAATATTACACTTTATTCATATTCCATATCCTTCCTCCTACAATGGATGTTTAGGTGGTTACTGTATCTTTTTTTTTTTTTTTTTTTTTTTTTTTGCTGGTACAAACAACATTCTGATGCGCATGCCTATGAATATGCATGAGCATATTCCGTGGGCAAATTCCACCACTGCGGTTGGATCAGAGAGTGTATGCATTTCAACTTTTGGTGGGTCGCATCAGATGGCTCTCTAGAGAAGTTGAAACCACAGCATGCGAGAGGGGTGGGGGGTGTTTCTCTCCTCGCCCTTCTGCGACACTGTGCATCCCTAATGTTCTGGATCACTGCCTGCGTGACAGGCGAGAGACGGCATCCACTGTTTTGCTCTGCATTTCCTCAGCTATGGGGAGGCTGAGTCACACGCTTACGTTTTGTTTCTTTTTCTGTGAACTGTCTTTTCACATCTCAGTGTCATTTTTACGGAGGTCGCCATCTTTTCCATTCATGTTTGAGAGCTCTTTGTGTGTCAAAGACATTAGCCCTTTGTCTGCTGGCGTTGCAAATATTTCTCCCAGCTTGTCACAAGTCTTGACTTTGCTTATGCTGTTTTCTCCGTAGAAAAGGTTTAAATTTTTATGTCGTCAAATGTATCGGTCTTTAATTTTTTTTAATGGCTTCTAGGCTTTGCATTTCCCACTCTATGACTATGAGGACATTCACTGGAGATCTGATTCAGTACTTTTGTGGTTTTATTTTTATGTCTAAATCCTTGATCCATCTGGACGGGATCAGTTTGCTTTTCCCAAGTGGGCTGCCGACGGTGCCGACACCATCGTTTTGCAACCAGGATGAAATGCGTGTTTCCCCACGAGCCGCACTGCTACGGCCAGCGTGGGCCCTGGCATGAGCGGGCAGTGCTGGGCGCCCACCACGTGCCTCCCCTCTCTCTCCAGGTCACCGAGAGCGAGCCCAGCGTGATGTGGCTCTCGGGGCTGCACATCCCGGAGTCCTACCTCACGGCCCTGGTGCAGGCCACCTGCCGGAAGAACGGCTGGCCTCTGGACCGTTCCACCTTGTTCACGCAAGTGACCAAGTTCCAAGATGCAGACGAAGTGAATGAGCGGGCAGGACAAGGTACAGGGAGCTTGTTAAGGGCCACAGGCTCTCATTTGGGGTTTCTGTCCCCGAGGCATCCTCAATTCAAAGGGATGAGGACAGGGTGCACCAGGCCACGTCGGAAAGCCAGACTGCTGCAGATATGTGTGTGCACTGCCCGTGCCTTGCCAGCCCTGCGGGTGAACACCTAAGTCTCTCTTTCACCTTCTCCCTTGAGATCCGGGCTGCTTGGGGCAGACGGAACCACGTTCACTCTGCTCCTCAGTGGGGAATGAGCCCCGAGGCCAGAAGCTTCCTTGCTGAGCATTAGGTCGCGGGGTGGCTTCCCTGTGAACTTTGATGGGGCCGGGGGCACGGGCGCCAGAGCGCAGTGTGGAGCTGCTTGGTGGGAACCATTAAATTATGCTGTCACCTCAGGTCCCTTAGACGTCGGTTACTGACTGTGCGAATCATAGCTGGAGACGATTGTTTCCCGGGGCATGTTGTCCCAGAGGCCATTTGACTGCAAGGAACAAACGCGCTCCTGAGCTAGCTCAGGGAGCAGGGCTCTCCGTAAAGACTCGGGGCCTCTCACGGGTCCCAGCTGCGGGAGTCCCGCTGGCTCTCGGGGGAACGGGCAAGTGTCCGGGCTGCCACTCACTCTGGGGCCAAAGGATCGTCCTCTCCTCTGCTGCTCTGTGCGTCCGCTGGGCCCTCTTCCCCAGAGACAGCTCTCTCCCCGCAAGGCTCAGCTTCCCAGTGCCGAGCCGCCTGGCTCACGGGGAGCTGGGGCTGCCGTGGTGCCCACTGACTCTGCCGCTTGTCTTTGTAGCCTGAGGGCCCAGGTGATCTGCGTCGGATGCCTGATGCCACATTCTCGGGGAGCGGGGAGGATCTGACGGGCCCTGCTGGGGAGAGACGCCCCTCGTCCACCCTCTGGGGCCACAGGGAACGTCATGGGGTCTGCAGTGTCTCCTGTCTGCACTGTCCCCCTAGAAAGGGAAGGTGGGCAGGACAGAAATGATGGAGAAAGGCCTGGGTGTGTGTTCCCCTGGCACCTCGGGAAGGGGGCTTGTCGGTGGCCTGTGTGCGCGTGGCAGCCGGCAGCGGGCGCCTCCGCACACAGCCGGTCTCTTCCCCGTACCTCTAGGGTGCTTTGTCTCGGGACTGTACCTGGAAGGTGCCGACTGGGACATAGAGAAGGGGTGTCTGGTCAAGAGCAAACCCAAGGTGCTGGTTGTGGACCTGCCTATCCTCAAGATCATCCCCATCGAAGCCCATCGCCTCAAGCTGCAGGTGAGGCCGGCTCCCTCGGCTCCGGCTCTGGCCCCAGCACCACGGCAGTGATGGCAGGGGTGGTGTCAGGTGGCTGGGGCGGTGTCCGGTGGCTGTGCCTTTTAAAACGGGGGCTCTTAACCTCTGTGGGCCAGGGAAGCCTTGGAGATGTGACAAAAGCTGTGGCGCCACTTGCAGCAAGATGCACAGAGGCACATGTGTGTGATCATTCCACAAGTGCCAGGTTCCAGTTTAGACCCTGTGGTCTAGACTAAGGAGAGACTCCCGCCCGTGTGACACTCGGCGACATGGCTTGGATTACAAAGTGGTCACACCTGGTGTGGACAGCAGGCGCTGTCTACTTCGCTCTGGCTGGGACCCTGGCACTGTCAACACGAGTGTCTGTGTGAGCCCAGTCCCCACTGGCTGGGCAGGGGACGGCCGAGCAGGGAGCCTCGGCTACGCCTGCGTTCTCGGCGCAGCCTTGCTCGAGGCCCCGCCCTCAGGTTAGTGAGCCTTCCCTCTCCCCGGGGGCTTCTCACCTGCCTTTCCCTTGCAGAATACCTTCCGGACCCCCGTGTACACCACCTCCATGAGAAGGAACGCCATGGGCGTTGGCTTGGTCTTTGAAGCCGATCTCTTTACCACGAAGCACATTTCTCACTGGGTGCTACAAGGGGTGTGCCTCACCCTCAATTCCGACTGACCGCCGGGCAGAGAAGGCTGGACACTGAACCCCAGTCTGGTGGCGGCGGATGCTCTGGGGACCGGCGGAGGACGGTGATGTCCGCTGTCATTTCTTGTGGTCTCTCAAGGGGCAGGAGGGAACTGACAATGATCTTCCTTACATTGGAAATCAGTTATTTAAATCTCTCTTCATACAAATTAACCCAAATGTTTTTTTTAAACTCCTTTCTTTAGGACTCTATATATTCAAAAAGTAAATACTAGAGAGCATTTCAAGAGGTGTTGTTTTCATTCTCAGAGGAAACATTTGACTAAGCAGAAGTGCCTGGCCCAAGTGACAGTCCTAATGTCAATTTCTGAAGGGGCGTTTGACAACCCGGGTCTGTCTCTCCTTTTTGGCAAGAGCTGTCCACTCAGAAGGTGGAGGCTGCTGGGGGCGGGATTTCAGGCAGAGCCCAGACCCCCAGCTGGTGGCAGGCTGGCCTGACGGTGCACAGAGCAGAAGTGGCCAGGCTCACTGCAGTCACTTCTCCCCATTCCAGAAATCTCTGGCCCCAGCTCCTTTGGCTCTGACCTGCCAGTGTGGCTGCTGAGCTTGGGTTTAATTCCTGCCTGAGTTGCTCCCCCAACCTGCCTGAGTTTGTGTGGGGTCAGGCACAGCCTTGGAACCTATAGCCACTGGACGCCCCTTCCCTCTGTGTACCATGAGGCTGGCCGGTGGCGAGGGGTGGCTGGGCTGAGGACAGAAGGGTGGTGAGAAGGTGGTAGTCACCGCTGGGGACCTGCTATTTCTCCGTCTCTCCACAATCTCCTTCCAGCCCTCCCTCAGGTGGTTTAATGAAAGACACAAAAAACAGAAAGAAGGCAGGTTTAGAAAATAAAGTTTGTTGGGATCTTAAACATTTTGGATAAACCTAACAAAAAAAAATATGAACACACATTCAGGTTGCGGTGCTTTGCGGAGCATCGTCATCTTATTTAGTTCCTTGAGCTACACACACAGCTGCTCGGTGGTGGGCGCCGCGCGGGACGGGGCTGTCGGGGGGAGCGGGGCTGCTTGGGACGGGCTGCCCTGGAGCCCAGGGAAGGCTGGCGTGTGTTGCTCAGACTCTGCGGTTCGCGTGAGGCTGTGTGATGCATGGACGTCGAGCAGAGCACGGCCGGGCGCGGGCGCGCTTCACGGACGCGGAGTGGGTAGAAGCAAGCGACCGGCACGCAGGTGTCTGGCCGTGGCGGCTGGGGACTGCGTCTTCTGCAGCAGGGCTCGGTCGTAGTCTGGTGTAAGAGGGCAAGAGGAGGAGAGTCGGACAGGTCTGAAAACAATTTGGCATGCGTGGGGCAAAACGAGTGCGGCTGAGCTTCCTAGCAGTGCTCACGGTGCGCGGCGCGGCTCACACAGTTCTGTCCGTGCCGGGCTGCTTCCGCGCCGCCTTGCCCCCGTTCACCTGGTCCACCGCCAGCGTCTCCACCTCGGGCTGCGCCGGCGCCGGCGGCGGGGGCGGGGCCGCGTGGTGGATGCGGTGGGCCACCCCCACGTGGGCCTTGTGCTGCTCGCCGCTACGCTCGGAGGCGATGGGCGGGATGAGCGGCCGCTCCCTGAGGTGCACCTCGGCGGACTCCCGGGCCAGCAGGAACGGCGTGGGGTCGGGCATGGCGTCCACCGGTTCCCGCAGGAGCAGCTTCCGGCTCTCGGCCCCGAGTCTGTAGACCTCCTCGAACTCCGGGTGCAGGGGCGCCGACAGGCTCTTCTTCATGCGGCGGCGCGGCGTCTCGGGCAGCCTGTCCTTGGGGGGCGCCGGCTTGTAGCTGGCCAGCACGGGGCTCCCCGACGGGCTGGCGTCCGAGGTCCCGCTGGAGCTCGCCAGCTTCTTCTTGGCGGCGTGCAGCTGCGCCGTCAGGTAGGCGACGGTGCCCGCGCGCTGCTCCAGCTCGCCCGACAGCAGGCTCAGCGCGTGGCTCTTGGCCTTCAGCTCCTCCAGGTACTTGCGCTCGCGCTCGCGCAGGGTGTGCTCCAGCACCGCGGCCGCCGCCGCCTTCTGCTCCAGCTCCCGCAGCAGCTCCGCGTTCTCCGCCTCCCTGGCCTTCAGCTGCGCCTCCAGCGCCTCGCACCGCTTCTGCAGCTCGCCGCTTCTGGAACACCCATCTAGGAGAAGCAGAGGAGCCAGTGAGGGGCGGCGACGGCGCGGGCAGGCCGGTTGCCAGGCCCGCTCCGGCCCACAGCTCTGGCTCAGCGCGCGGGACCACGACTCCACACTGCGAAGCGCTCAAGGCCCAGCAGGCAGCCTCAGAGCTGAGCTCACCGGCACTCGGACTGCGCCGGCCCGGCCGTGTCTGCTCGGGTGGTGCTTACTAATTGCCTGCTGCAGTCAAAGCACTGTTTTGAAACTCAAATGCAGAAAGAATCCTCCGCATCTAGAGCACAAAAACTCTGCAGCTCAGAGGCGCAGGAAGGTCAGGCTGTTGCCTTTCCTTTGCTTCCGGTCTCCTCTCACTGCCTTTTGTCCTCACTCGCTCCTGCTCGGACAGGGAGGCGTCCTTGGACCCGCACCCACCCTGACACCAGCCGTCCCTCTGTGCCTGCCCCCACCCCACCCACAGCCACACGTCAGCCTCCCCCCTGCTCCCGCTGCTGCAGTGACTGGCAGGCCTGTCCCCAGCCACCTGCGCCTCACACCTGCTGGCTGCACTTAGCGCCTTTGGCTCTGGGGCCGGTGCCACCACCCTGCTCATCCTCACTGCCTGGCTGGCCTTCCTCCTCACCTGGGCCCCAGGACATCCTTTCTAGATTCTTCCTTACTGATAGGGAACTCACCTTCAGCGTCCACTCCCCAGTCAGGGTCCTGAGCTCCAGTTCTGCCAGTGATGCCAGACACATCCCTCAACTCTAGACAGCCGCTCCCCTTCCCCCTCCATCCTCCTGCCAGACCAAACCCAGATGTTCTGCGGCCACCTCTCGCCCTTCCCTGCCCTCTGCATGTGTCCGGCAGCGCTCCGGGACTCATCCCTGCTCTGACCCCTCCCTGCGCCCGCCTCCTGGCCGTGCTGCAGCCCCTCTGTCTTCCCTCCACTCCATCTAGCAGTTAGCAAGAGCGGCCACCCTCTAAACATTCTCCTCCCCCGTTCACAGATGGCTCCTCGGTGTCCCGCGGCACCCACCCCACACAGGCAGCGCCCGCCGCCCGAGCCCGCCCCTCGCTCTGTCTTCAGCTAACTTCCTCCCTGGCCTAACTCCAGATGCGCCCAGTCTCCTCGGACAAAACTCACCAGCCCGTGGGCTGTGCTGGACGTCCCCCGAGCCTCTATCTGACTCTCCTGCATTCGCACCTGCCCGAGCTGCGGCTTCTGGGACACACTGCCAGCCAGACCTGGAGCTTCCCGAGGCCCCGCGGCTGCCCTGACTGGTTTTGTGCGGGCACATGGCGAGCGCGCTGGAGGCGACCACACACAGGTGCTCCTCGACTTAGGATGGGGTCATGTCACCATACATCCTGTGTAGGCCGAAATACCATTCAGGGAAAGTGTACCGTCGGTATTTTCAACTGCCAACGCGTTTATCCAGACTTAGCCCCATCGTGAGTCAAGGAGCATGCTGAACACGTGTCACCCCATGATGTCGAGCAGAGGTCGAACCATTGCACACTAGTGACTATTTGCATTTCTGAAAACCACGTCCGTGTGTGTGCGCAAGTGCGTCCTTAATGTCAGCAAATGACCTCCCTGGAAAGGGTGTCTGCAATACTGTTTTTCATAAGGCTTTTCTCCCCCCACAACAAAAACGGATTCTGAAACAGTTGCAGAGGTGAAAAGAGTGACAGAGACAAACACAGGACTCTAAATCCACCTGTGAGACCCAGGAGCCTGGCCACCGGGGCTGGCCCCTGCGAGCAGAAATGCTGACTTGGGCACGCCAGCTCGGGCTCGGCACCCAGGGCTCTTCCCGAGGCCCGTGGGGCGACGATCCGAGTGTGCCGTCGCACCCTCGCTCAGCTGGAGGAAGGTCTGCAACCTCGGGCCTTCGGCCACGTGCCCGGCCAGGCGTGAACGTCTGGGCTTTTCCTCCCTCGGGTGCTGTGCGGGGCCGGCGGGCATCTGGGCGCTTGAGAGCAACGCCCCCCCTGGCTTCGCTCGCGCCCTCTGAAGGGCAGAGGCGGGGCAGTGCGGGAAGGCAGGAGGCCCGCGTGGTCAGGCGGGACTAGCGTTTGTGGGTGTCTGTCAGACGACGCAGGTTCAGAGACGTTAAAGAACTGGCCAAAAGCCACACGGCTGCTCCCAGTCAGAGCAGAGACTGAATTTTGAGTAGCGGGTGTTCTTTTTGGCTGTCCCTTACCATCCTAGCTGTCCTTTTCCTCCCGGGTGGCCTTGGCTCTGCACTGATGCTTGCTGGCCCTGACTGAGCAGGTGCCACTGGGGCAAGGAGCTGGCGCTGCTCTGTCCCCACTCTGGAGAGCTGCTCTCCTACTGTCCTTTCTGCAAATCAGCACCTCCTGTTCTGCCAACTTTCCACTTTTTATAGGAAGCTCCACTCCACCTCTTCCTCTCCACACGCCCTTGCCAGAAATTCCACTCTCCCCATCAAAGCTGTACATACACTGAGCTGATAGCAGCAACTGCTCTGTCACTGAAAGCAGTACTTCCCAGCCTGCATGAGCACTACATCCCTGCAGCATTATTTGAGGAAATGGGGTCTCGTACTGTTGCCCAGGCTGGAGTGCAGTGGCGTCAGCCTAGCTCATGGTAGCCTCAAACTCCTGGGCTCAAGCGATCCTCCTGCCTCAGCCTCCAGAGTAGCTGGGACTATAGGCATGCACCACCATGCCCGGCTAATTTTTAAATCTTTTGTAGAGACAGTGTCTCCCTGTGTTGCCCAGGCTGGTCTTGAACGCCCGGCCTCAAGTGATCCTTCCATCTTGGCCTCCCAGAGTGCTGGGATTACAGGTGTGAGCCACTGCATCTGGCCTACAGCACTTTTTAAACATACAGATTCCCAGGCTCCCTCCCAGACTTTTGGAATCCAGGAGTCTATACTTTTAACCTGTGTCCTACAGCTTCTTAGGACTGGGTGAGGTTGGGCGCACCAAGGTAAAGCGATGACTCTCGCCACGGGGAAGGGCGGACGCCCCACCAGAACTGCCCGAGGGGCTTTCTCGGCCTCGGCGCTGAGATGCTCCTGCAAACTGCTACCTCCGGGACCCCACTGCTGCTGCGAGGACCACACCACAGGGGCAGGTGGCCTTGGGGTGCAGGGTTGAGAACCTCAACTGGAGCCGCCAAAGGGCAGGAAGTGTGCCTGTGCAGATTAGCCTGGGCCAAGAGGGACGGGAGTGGGACACCCTGGTTTCCATGACGGACAGCTCCTTTCGAGGCTTTGGTTTTGGCAGGGGTGGAGGCTGGGGCCCCCAACTCCAGGTTGAAATCTCCTGGACGCGGAGCTCCCTAGCCGCAGGGGCTGCGGGATAGCACCCTGGTGGTCTGCCTCTACACAGGGACTCCTGAGGGCGGCTCCTGTCCCAAGGCCCAAGCAGTCTGACCGTGCCTTCTCCACCACACGCAGACAAATAGACTTCTTGGCTCCTGAAAGGAGCACTTAGGAGACTGTAATATGAGTAACGCCAATGGAAAACTCGGTGCTCGCTAATCCGCCAAGACTCTGCAAATAGGCCATGTCTTTTACAAGGGAGTGGACACTCTCATGAATAATAACTGCCCCCGTGGAGCCTATTTAGCAAGACGCACCTTGCCCCAGATGCAGACCCCGCGTTCTCTGCATCTCCACCCTGTTCTGGGGAGTCCGCTATTCCCACAGGCACAGGGGGCCCTGGGAAGGCCCAGTTTCTGTCTCTCATCCTTTGTGGTTCCCTGATATTCTAGAGGATTCTGGTTGGGGGAAGCATTTCTGGGACTGTAGTCCAGAGAAAGATGGTCACCGGTCCCCGGGGGCCACCTAGTGTTGTGCCACTCACCCAGCGGTGCTCAGAGAGCACCAGGCCCCTCGCTAGGCTGCGGGACGGGGCTGGGCGGTGGTGGCGTTCTGCCTAGCACTGCCATTCCTTTTCCACTATTTGGGTTCAAATCACATCTATTTTTATGTCCTGGTCACACCAGAAGCACATATTCATTGCAGAGAAGTCAGAGAATCCAGAAAAGCGTGTAACAGACATTCCAAAGACAGGTATCAATCAAAAGAAAATAAAACCACTCCTCCCCCTGCCCGCTGATACCCACTTCTGTCACTGAGGGGTCCAAACATCCCTCTCATCTTTTCTTAGCCAGCTCTTGCCAATGTGGACTCTCCATAGCACCTGTATTTTCTTTTAAGTGTGTAACTAGTGAAAACAAATGGCACCGACACAAACCACAAAAGGAAACGATACTGTGATTACCTTTTGGGGAGGAGTTCTTACCTGTCTGTTCAGAACTTTTGACTGTCAGTTCGTATGTCAAATCTAAAAAGGAAATTTTATACATTAGTTCTGTTAGGGTACATCTCAAAACCTTCATCGGCTCTGAGAATGCAGAACCGACTCCCACGATTAGGCAGCAAGTCGTGCCCAGACAGAGCAGGCTTTGGCCGCCTCAGAGGCACGCATGAGAACAGCACAGGGTATCAGCGGCCACTGTCCTTACTAGGGTTAAGAGGGGACCCTCCTTGCCCCCAGGAGCCCCCATGCCCCCTTCCCCCAAAACACACATCCCAACGATCCACGATTAGGGAGCGGCTTGCTCTATACACTACATCTTGGTTATCCTTTCCAAACGCACTGTAAGTTCTAGCCATTGTATTTTAATCCTTTAAGTCTTCAGTATGCCAAGAAAAGGCTTTTCGGCTCTGGCTCGGTGCGTTTCCATTATGCAACACGTTCACGTGGACCCCTGCGAGGACGGGGAGCTGGGGGAGCTGGCCTGGCTGGCTTCTCCTCCGGCCCCCGTGTCCTGACGACAGGCCCTGCCGTGCCACAGCTGGCCGTCTGTCCGAGGCCCCGCCCACCCCAGGGTACCTGTGCAGTGCTGCTGCAGTCGCCGGATCTCGGCGTGCAGCCCCTTGAGCGTGCTGGCGTGCTCCCGCTGCAGGAATAAGAGGTTCTTCTGCGCACTGTGTAACTGGTTCTCCAGGTTTGTGGCTGCCATGCTGACATCCAGGTGACCTGTGGGAAACACAGCCTGGTTGCTGTCCCTGATGACGAGGGTCCCAGGGCGGTCAGCTGGGAGAGGGAGCTGCCCACTGCCCGCCCTGCGGGGCTCTGGGTGCAGAGGGTGGCACTCCTCCGGGAGGGAGCAGGAGGAAACCAATGGAGCCTGCGGGGACCGTGGGGGTCCACATCCCGGTCACCGCAGTGAGGCCCGAGTGCAGGGACAGAAGCCTCTGCCTCCTGAGCACCTTGGTGTGTGCGCTGGTACCACGCCTGGCACCCGAGCGAGCTACGCCCAGTACGGGGTCCAGGGTCACTTAACTTGCTCATGAGGACACAGGTTAAGAGGTGGATGAGGCTGGGGGTCACACAGCCAGTAAGTCTGGAGCAGGGGTTCAAATCCAGGGCCCCCCGACTCCAAATCCTCTCCTCGCATACGCTACCTGACCTCGACAGACTCTAACCGCCCAAAACTATTCCCGACAAGGGCAGTGCCGGCTGCTCCTCACAGGGAACTGGGCGTCTGGGAACCGGGCCGCAGGCCTCCCCCGACCCGTCCGGCGCAGGCCAGAGCCAGAACAGGAGGCGGGGAGGCCCCGCCCTTCACGGGGTGCAGAGGAAACCCAAATCCTTCTTGGGAACGTCCCGAGAGCACGTGCTCTGGGGCCACATGGTGGCTTCGGGAGTCTGGGATCCCTGCCCGATCCCTTCCCTCCCACACCCAGCCCGGCCTCCGCCCTCCAGCGCTCACCAGGGCCTCGGCTCCTCTGCCTCCGCCGTGCCCCGAGACGTGGGGAAGCCGGTCGGCCGTTCCGGAAAAGCTACCAGAGTAATTCACGGCGCCTCGCACGGCGCTGAGAAACACCGAGGACGAAGCGGGGGCTGGCTGTGAACTGCCGGGACGCAGAGCCTCGCAGCGCGGCCTCCTTCCTCTGCGGCGCCCGAGACCCGCCTACAGGAGGCGCCACGGATGAACCTGAGACGGCGACGCAGCGGGGCTGTCACCACTTCAGGCGATACGCGTCACCCCTCGTCACGCGTAAGGCCAGCGACGTGGCTGCACGCTAGCTCTGGGGCGAGACACGCGTCGTGGCTGGGACGCGGGACCCACCGTCGCTCACGCAGAGACGCCCGCCAGGTCTCCCAGCGGGAGCCACAGGGGCCGGGGCGCCTGAGAGGAGGAAATAAAACGAGGCAAAGCTCGAGAAGGGGAGCGGAAAATGTCACGCCCTGAAGAGGTCACTTCAGTCAGGGGAAGAAGGGACAAGAGGAAGCAGCGAGTGCCGGGAAACCGTTTGGTTTTGGTGGCGCGTTCACCGGTGGCCCTCGCCACAGGCAGAATGCGGCAAAGCCCGCCGGAAGCCTCAGAACTGCCGCCTGTGCGTCCGCAGTCATCGTCTACGCCTCTGGCCTCTGCCGGAGGGAGGCGATCGCTTGTGTGTGAGGCGACAGGACGCAGACCCAGAACCTGCACGGGAGCCGTCACAGCCCGCGCTCACCTGGCCGCCTGCTAGCTCAGTCCCCTCCCCCAGGCCCTGCAGGCAGGAGCAGGGAAGGGGACTTCTGCCTGCAGTCCCTCTGCTGTGCCCGCACGCTCCTGTGCGGGCCGCGGCCAGACGCTATTAAGTAACGTCTAAATGCAGCCCCAGCCCTATCCGCTCAGCACGTGGCCGAACACGGGAGCCAGCCGTGGCGAGGCAAGTTGGCGGGTGACCGCGTGGGCGGCGTGCTGGGCGTGGAAGGCGCGGGCCCCTCACGGCGCGGGAGCGTGGAGGCTGCACAGCCTCGAGTCACAGGAAGGAAGGACCCGGCACTGCCTGTGCCTTTGGGCGCGACCGACCACGCTGCCCTTCCGCATACAGCAGCCCGCGTCGCTCCCGCCTCCTGGCCACCTCTCACCGGATGCCAGTCCCGAGATCTGGAGGGAATCGGGAAGTGGAACTGAGACGAGATGCGAGGCCGGTGCTGTGAAAGGACAGGCTCAGATCTGAGACCCCGTTGGCTGGAGGGAAACGCACAGCCACGTTTCAGGGGCTTGCCACTGCAGAGAAGGAACAATTTAAACCTGACCCAGAGCCCAGCGGGTCTGGAGGACAGGCCCGGCGCCTCCGCCCCTCTCCAGCACGCTCCCCAGGAGGGCACCTGGCGCCACCTGACTGACTCCAGGATCGCCCGCCACTGCGTCCCAGTCCATCGGGGTTTCTCGGGGATCCGTCTTCAAAACCGGCTCTCAAGTCCACTCACTGACCCCAAGGCTACCCTCACCCTCAGCCGTAACTGCGGACAAACCTCCCTCCGTCCTCTCCTGCCTGCTGCGTTCCGTTTGCCACACAGATTTAAAAAAAAAAAAAAATCGAGACTGCTTAAAAACATTCAACGGTTCCCACTCCTCTGAGAATCGAGCATGTGCGCCTGGCCCTGCCACCCGCCGGCCCTTCTCCCGCCCCCAGGTCCCCGAGGCACCAGCCTTGCTCCAGGTGCCCCAGTGGGCCACACTCGTCCCGCTTTGGTGCCGTCTCACGGCCCCTCCTCTGCCCAGAACACCTTCTTGGCCTCTCTGCCGCCACCACCTTTCTGCTCTCCCTTGGGTGTCGGCGTGAGCTCACTCTCCCGGAAGCCCGGCCCCGGACGAGGCGAGGCTCTGCAAGCCCACGGCACCCCACGTGCCATGCCTTGTCCCCAGTTTCAGCTACCTGCCTTCGTGTGAGGGTCGCCAAGGGTGAGTCCATCCTGCCTCCTCGCAGACCACAGGCCTGCCCGCCCCCGCCCCGCCCCGCCCCGGCACAGCGCCCGGCTCGCCAGGGGCCGTGGCGAGCACTTGCCGACCGAATGAGCCCCGGCGTCAGTCTCTCAGGGACGCCAGAGGACACGAGGCCTTCAGGGCTGAAGAGCCTTTGCTTCCATGGGCTTCCTACTCAGGCGCTTCGTTTACAGGCATGCCTTGCTCGAAGGAAACGCGACATGCTAACATATCCTAAACCTGCAAAACAATCTCGCCCAGCCCTGACCGCACGAAATGAGGTGTGCCTGCACATGGCAATAATCGCTTCCATGTCTACCACGGGGAGCAGGAGGAGGATAAAATTGTGACCTTAGTGGCTACCCAATCCCAGTCCTAGTGTGACATTAAATGTCATTTGTAACAAATTCAAATATGATTGAAACAAGTATTCATACTCTAACTGCCTTGGTAAATCAGCAGCGCTGAATCATAGCTGCTCTATATTGCACTAGCCCGCTGTGGTAGCTACAGAAATAAACGTGCCCTTGAAGCTCCCCATCGCCACGGGTCCACAGCACGGGCAAGAACGCAAGGCGGGCAGGGGGAGTGTGATCACATGACGTGCCCAGTGCATGAGCGAGCTCCGGCAACCACTGGGAGTCCCAAGGGTTGGGGACAAGGATCGCCCACCTGGTGACGTTCACTGTCCAGCTCCCCACTTTCCTCACTCGGTGCCGACTTAAAAGGCTCCAACGTGGAGACGCCCCCTGTGCAGGGCGTTCTACGGTTGTTAGGGCACACCTGAACAAGACAGGTCCTCCTGGGGCGAGGAAACGCATCGCATCTCCAAATGGCATCCAAATTACCAAATTATCTTCTAATCGGCCCAAAAGGATAACGATATCACTGGCTTTCTGAGGGCAAAAGAGTTGCTATGGTTTGAAAGACAGCGACGTCGGCCGGGCGCGGTGGCTCACACCTGTCATCCTAGCACTCTGGGAGCCAAGGCGGGCAGATTGCTTGAGGTCAGGAGTTCGAAAACAGCTTGAGCAAGAGCAAGACCCTGTCTCTACTATAAACAGAAAGAAACTAATTGACCAACTAAAAAATATATATATACAAAAAATTGGCCGGGCATGGTGCCGCATGCCTGTAGTCCCAGCCACTTGGGAGGCTGAGGCGGGAGGATCACTTGAGCCCAGAGTTTGAGGTTGCTGTGAGCGAGGCTGACGCCACAACACTCACTCTAGCCTGGGCAACAAAGTGAGACTCTGTCTCAAAAAAAGGAAAGAAAGACAGTGAAGTCTTCAATTTTCATCCTTAGCTGCTGCCGACACGTAATCGCGTGGAGATCTAATCCTTCCAGCAGTCTGACGCGGACGGAGCTATGGAAGCACCCTGCTTAGGCCAAGACAGCCCCGGGGGAAGCGCAGGTAATTCCGAGGAAGAAACGGACTTGCTCCGAGAGGCCGCGTTCGGTACCTGAGGCACTCTAGGAATCGAGACACGAAGGAGCACTCGCTGCCGACCCCTGAGAGGGTCAGCGTGACGGATGGAGGCAGAAAGGCAGCGCCACACGTGAATAAAGCAGGTTGCCGAGCAAAGGCACCCGCCGTCCGAGTCCGCGTGTCAACACTGATGGAGGCGACACTCAGAGGCGCCTTGCAAACGCTGCGCTTCCTGTGTCAAGAGGGCGCACGCTACAAACTGTGGGCTCTGTGCGGCAGCCTTTCGTCTCGGGGCAATCCAATCTTGTTTCCACGCGTTGCTGGGGGCCACCAGCAATGTTACAGTCATTTGCCCAACCAAAGGCAGCGCGGCCTGCGCGGTCCCCTTCCCCCCTGGAGACACTGCCCTCCGCTGCACAGAGTGGCGTTCCAAGTGGCTGGCATGCCCGGGCCACCACGGCACGGCAGAGGGCCAGCCCCACACGGGCGAACATGCGCGGCTCCGCTAGTTTCTGGCCCAAAGAGCTCCGCAGAAGCCACGCACGAGGGCGCCGGCAGGTGGAAAGCCCGCTGCCTGCGTTACCGTGACCACGACTCTAAGGTTAAGCCACACACACACTTTTCCCTGTGGTAAAGTCACTAGGTGTTAAATTTCTGTTAATTTACTGTTTACAAGTTTAGAAAAACTAACATTCAAGAAAAGCTTTCCATTCCAAATTCTACAGAGATGGGCTCTGGAGTGGGGTGGATACTGCCGCCGTTTCTGGTGACACCGTGATTAAAGGAGGGGCGTGGAGAGAAGAAGGGCCCCAACTCACTGGGCCTGCTCCCCGGCACATGAGGAC